CCCTAATGGGCCCTGTGTTAATGGGCCCTCGGTTAATGGGCCCCTGTGTTAATGGGCCCCTAGTGTTAATGGGCCCCTGTGCATGGGCCCTGTGTTAATGGGCCCCTGTGTTAATGGGCCCCTGTGTTAATGGGGCCCCTGTGTTAATGGCCCCTGAGCTGATGGGCCCTGTGTTAATGGGCCCCTGTGTTAATTGGGGCCCCTGTGTTAATGGGCCCCTGTGTTAATGGGCCCCTGTGTTAATGGGGCCCTGTGTTAATGCCCCTGTGTTAATGGGCCCTGTGTTAATGGACCCCTGTGTTAATGGGCCCCTGTGTTAATGGCCCCTGTGTTAATGGACCCCTGTTTTAATGGGGCCCTGTGTTGGACCCCTGTGTTAATGGCCCCTGTGTTAATGGGCCCCTGTGTTAATGGGCCCCTGTGTTAATGGGCCCCTGTGTTAATGGGCCCTGTGTTAATGGACCCCTGTGTTAATGGGCCTGTGTTAATGGGCTCAGTGTATTCATCCTCAGTAGGAATGTGAGGCATTAGCAGATAAGCCCAGAGTCCGAGGGTTCGAATCCTTCCTTCTCTCCTCCTCTCACTTCCTCCCTCCTCCCTCACTCTCCCTCCCTCCTCACTTCCCCCTCCTCTGTCTCCTCCTTCCCCTCCTCGACCAGTGCCAAGAGTATGAGGTTCTGGCACGAGGTCGGAGGGGGGGAGGGGGACAGCACTGGCCACCAAAACCTCCCTCATCCCACCTCCTCTTCACCCTCCCTCCTCCAACCTCCTCTCGCCCTCATCTCCCTCCCCCTCACCGCTGGCCAGCTCTAAAATGGACACACCTGGAGTTAAAATGTTCTCAGGAGGGGAGGGGAAATGAAGGAAGAAGGAGGGGAGAGGAAAGAAGGAAGGGAGAGGGAAAGAAGGAAGGGAGAGGGAAAGAAGGAAGGGGAGAGGGAAAGAAGGAAGGAGGGGAAAGTAACATTTTGTCTGGGGCGGGCTCATTTTATCACACACACACACACACACACACACACACACACACACACACACACAACGAGAATGTGATACTTATAGGTACAGTGTGTGTTTAAGTCTCTCCTCCCGCTGAGAGCCTGCCTGCATTTCACTAAGAAGAGAGAGAGAGAGAGAGTGTTGGCAGGAGGGGCGGCCATTATGCCACCCAGCAGGCACCATGTGGCACCCTTCACACACCTGGTCACCCTCCCGCCATAAACAGTGCTAACGGGGCCGATTATGTCACTCAGAGACCGCCAGAGTGCCAACACGTCAAAGGGAGGGGGGAAGGGGGAGGGGGGAGGGGGTGAAGGGGGAGGAGGGGAAGGGGAACCAACACGTCAAAGGGAGGAGGGAAGGGGGAGGAGGGGAAGGGGTGCCAACATGTCAGCGTGTGTTTGCTATGCTGTCAACCCACCTAAGTTTACACACACACACACACACACCTGCACCAGCTGTCAGTATCGCCAGCTGGTTCAACATGGCCAGATGGAGAGGCTGTTTGTCACCATCTGTAACCTGATACTACTACATCAACAACCATGTGTGTGTGTGTGTGTGTGTGTGTGTGTGTGTGTGTGTGTGTGTGTGTGTGTGTGTGTGTGTGTGTCTGTGTGTGTGTGTGTGTGTGTGTGTGTGTGTGTGTGTGTGTTGTACACCTCTATTCAACGAACCATATGGAGATGAAAGTCCGTTATATAAAGGTTCCGCTGTACGTCACTTGGTGTACACATGTGCGTATGAATGAAAGCGTATCAATGTATATATTCTGACCTTACGCAACTATTGTATACACGTGATAAGCAAACAATCCAGTCAACCGGCCAGTGTAGACAACTTTTGACGTGTGTCCGGTACAATGGTGGTCCCTGCTCTCTCTCTCTCAGTGGCTCAGTGGCTCAAATTACTCGCCTACCAAAATAATGGACACGTGTTCGAATCTCTTAATAATGTGTTGAGGGATTAAATCAAGGTAGATTAGGTTAGGTTAGTGTTAGCGTTAGATTAAGTTATGTTAGGTTAGGTTAGTGTTAGCGTTAGATTAAGTTATGTTAGGTTAGGTTAGTGTTAGCGTTAGATTGCTATGTTGGTGTTAGTGTTAGCGCTAGATTGCCATGTCAGGTTAGGCAGTTGTGATTGCAGTTGGCTGCAGCGTTAGGTTGGTTTAGGTCAGCGTTAGATTGTTATGTTAGGTTGTTAGTGTTGTGATTTTTCAGTGCTAGGTTAGGTTAGTGTTAGTTAGGTTATGTTAGGTTAGGTTAGTGTTAGCAGATTAAGTTATGTTAGGTTAGGTTAGTGTTAGTTAGATTGCTATGTTAGGTTAGTGTTAGCGTTATGTTAGGTTGCTAGGGACCTTAAACCCAACCTAACCAAACTATATCCCACCACACCACCCTTACGCCTCAACCACACCCCACAGCCACCCCTACGCCCACACCCTCACCCCACACCCCACACCCCTCACCCACCTCTTCCCTCATCAGCCACCTCTGCCTGTGCCAACACCTTGTCAACATAAGTCACCCCTTGAGGACGGTGACTTAACAGTAATCCCGAATGTCAAATAATTACAACTCATATTTAACAAGTAATTAAAAAAAATAAATTATTCCTTAGATAATCACTAACACTAACACTAACCTAACCTAACACTAACCTAACCTAACACTAACCTAACACTAACCTAACACTAACACTAACCTAACACTAACCTAACACTAACATAAGAACATAAGAACATAAGAAAATAAGGAGTCTGCAATAGGCTGGTTGGCCTGTGCATGGCAGCTCCTGTCGAGAGTTACTACCACTCTATCATCCATGAATCTATCTAGCCTCCTTTTGAAACTTTCCAGCGTTCCAGCACTTACTACAAAGTTGCTAAGCTTGTTCCACTCGTCCACCACCCTATTTGTGAACCAGTTCCTTCCTATTCCCTCCTAAACCTAAACTTATCCAAATTTAAATCCGTTGTTCGAGTCCTATCCTGCTCGGATATTATAAGAACTTTATCTATATCTCCTTTATTGATTCCTTTCACCCACTTAAATACTTCTATCATATCTCCCCGCACCCTTCGTCTTTCTAGGAATGCAAGTTAAGTTTCTTTAACCTATCCTGATATGGAAGGTTTCTAAGTCCCGAATCATTTTTGTCATTCTTCGCTGCACCGACTCTAGTGAATTTATATCCATTCTATAATAGGGCACCAGAACTGAACCGCATAATCCAGGTGCGGCCTGACTAGCGCAAGATATAGTTGCAATAAGACCTCTGCACTCTTGTTACTTACACTTCTAGATATAAAACCCAATACTCTATTTGCCTTATTTCGAACATTAACGCACTGTTTTCTAGGCCGTAGGTCCGGGCTATAAGTACCCCAGGTCTCTTTCACAAGTCGACTTCTAGGTTGATGTTGTTCAGGCTGTATACATTGACAGTATTTGTTCTTCCAATATTAAGTACGCTGCACTTGCTGGTGTTGAATTTCATTTGCCATTTTTCAGACCACTCCTGCAGTTTATTTAGATGCTCCTGTAAGGCATTTGCATCCTGCCCTGAATTAATTTGCTGCCCTATTTTGGTGTCATCCGCAAACTTGCTAACCTAACACTAACACTAACCTAACACTCAACCTAACCTAACCACGTTTACACCTCACTAGATCAACAACTTCAGCATATTAACTAATCACACCCTCGAGTTAATGTTAATTTAGCAAAACGTTACGGTAAGAGACGATGGTGGGTGGGTGGGTGGGTGGTGGGGTGGGCTGGGTGGTGTGGGCTGGGGGCTGTGGGCTTGAGTCTCCTTTCTCACTCTCCGCCCGCCGTGTCAACAAACAAATTGCGCGCCAAAACTATCAGTCAACACTTCATTAATGCTCAAGTTTATCACCAGATGACACCACTTGTAGCAGATAATGGGGGGGAGGGAGGGGGGAGGGGAGAGTTAATTGAGACACACAAGATATAACTTATTTCTCTCTGACGACTAAACTCAGCCAATCAAAACACCAGGAAATAAAAGCAGCCTTGTGAAGTAATCGTTTGTCTCCAACCAATCAGGGGCGTGTGTGTGTGTGTGTGTGTGTGTGTGTGTGTGTGTGTGTGTGTGTCAGTGAGAATACATGATATCCAACTAGCTGCAACTCACAAGATGAATACGAAGTGCACAATAAACTAGCTACAGCCCACAGGATGAGTAACGAAGTGCACAATAAACTAGCCACAGTCTACAGGATACGTATGGGGTGCACAATAAACTAGCTGATGTACGTGGGGGGGTGAAATAAATAAATCTTGAAACCTCCTTAAATGCTGAACATCCTACGACATCCTGTGAACATCCTACGACATCCTAGAAAATCCTACACTACCCTACAGCACCGTACCGTTAACAGGGTCTCTCAGCAGTCACATGAAGGGCGTGACAGCTGAGGAGAGGACGCCTTACTGTGTAGAGGGAAAGTGGGTGGGTGGGTGGGTGGGTGGGTGGTGGGGTGGGTGGGTGGAGGGGAGGTACAGTAGATAATTATTACGACCAATCTCCACCCCCTCCCTCCCACCTGACCAGTGTTTGTAAACATTAGGGCGGTTTGTGTACACGTGTTACAGGCTGTTGACGTCACCGCTAACAAGAGTGTGTGTGTGTGTGTGTGTGTGTGTGTGTGTGTGTGTGTGTGTGTGTGTGTGGACCTTGAACTGATAGTATGCAAATGTCAAAGGAGATTTAACCCCTTGAGGACGATGATTTAACCCCTTGAGGACGATGATTTAACCCCTTGAGGACGATGATTTAACCCCTTTTTTCATTCATCTTTCACATCGTCATTATTTTTTTCACTTATTTCTTTCATTCTTTCAGGGCACAACTCAACTGGCATCTCGGAACATGAAGCACCTAACCCAACCTAATCCTAACCTAACCTAACCACAACCTAACGTAACCTAACCATAACCTAACGTAACCACAACCTAACCACAACCTAATAACCTAACCTAACCTAACCACAACCTAACGTAACCTAACCATAACCTAACGTAACCACAACCTAACCTAAGCTATCGACCAATTCCTACGCTATATGGAAACGTAATTACAGATGAGAAATAGAGATAGAGAGAGATAGAAGATAAGTATAGATGAGAAATACAAGAGACTGAGAAATATCGTAGAGAAATATTGAAGCATAAGTTATGAAAATTGTTTTTATATATATGTTAAGTTTTTGACCAGTTAGTTAAGTTAGGTTAAGTTTAGTTCGGTTAGATTAGTGGTAAGTTAGGTTAGGTTATCCACCCATTGTATAGTTGACTGAGTTAATCATGTTAGTTATGACAGTGGGTGGTAGTGGGTGGATAACGCCGCCCACGAAACCACCCACACGCTCTTTTAAGGGTTGGCTTATGTCCCTGGCCACCCTAATAGCGGCAACCCACATCCTAGCCACCACCCCTACCGCCACCACCCCACCCACAGCCACCACCCCACCCACAGCCACCACCCCGCCCACAGCCACCACCCCGCCCCCCCAAGATAGCCTCCATGGGTCCTACCTTGAGTCCTATCCGCCCGTCACCCAGAGTATAGCCCAGGTCCCCGACAGGAGTGCGCCCCTACACCGACAACTTCGGCACCTTCAGGATATCTACCGAAGGAGATCATGGAGAGTGAGGACCCCTTGGAGACTGAGGGATTACTCCAAGTGGTCTGTGAGTCTCCAAGCTCTTGATAATTATACTGGAGACCGGAGACGACAGAAGGACGAGGAGAGAAGGAAGGAAGAGGAGAGACAAAGAGCGAGAGATAAATGGTGGGTGAGACAGAACTCACTCCTACCACCACTACCAACGCCACTACTACCACCACTACTACCACTACCACCATCAACGCCCCTCCTACCACCAGCCTGGAATATGACTACCCTGCCACCCACCGCCCCGCCACCCACCCCACTGGCAGAGGACCCAGCCGTGTTACAAGCTCCTCGTGACCTTATCTACAACAACAGCCCAGAGAGAACACCAAGATGTGAGTATTATTGTGTGTGTGTGTGTGTAATAATAATAATAATAATAATAATAAACGGTTTATTGAAAAAGTTCTGCAGCCCGAAGGCTGAAAATATACATTGGACATAAATGACTTATTACATACATTGGTGGTTTAACAAAAGCCTTCATTAGAGAAAGGTAAAGGAACATACAGTGAACATACAGATTAATGTAGGTGTTGAACAGCAAAAACGTAGTGTAGTAACTCCCTCCCAGATGGTGTTAGGAGGACTCACGTGGTGTAGTAGTTCTCACAGATGGTGTTATGAGGGGCTCTACGTGGTGTAGTGCACTCTCACAGATGGTGTTATGAGGGGCTCCCATGCAGTGTATACACCTCACAGATGGTGTTATGAGGGGCTCACGTGGTGTGTAGTAATTCCTCACAGATGGTGTGTTATGAGGGCCTCTTGCCGTGGTGTATTAATTCTCACAGATGGTGCTATGAGGGCCTCACGTGGTGTAGTAGTTCTCACAGATGGTGTTATGAGGGGCCTCATGTAGGTAGTAATTCTCACAGATGGTGTTATGAGGGGCCTCACGTGGTGTATTAATTCCCTCACATGGTGTTATGAGGCCTCACGTGGTAGTAATTCCCCACAGATGAAAGCAGGAGGGCCTCACGGTGTAATTCCCTCACAGATGGTGTTATGAGGGGCCTGATGTGGTGTAGTAATTCCCTCACAGATGGTGTATGAGGGGCATCACGTGGTGTAGTAATTCCCTCACATATGGTGTTATGAGGGGCCTGATGTGGTGTAGTAATTCCCTCACAGATGGCGTGATGAGGGGCATCACGTGGAGTACTAGATCCCTCACAGGTGGTGTTATGAGGGGCTTGACGTGGTGTAGTAATTCCCTCACAGGTGGTGTTATGAGGGGCTTGACGTGGTGTAGTAACTCCCTCACAGATGGTGTTATGAGGCCTGACGTAGTAATTCCCTCACAGATGGTGTTATGAGGGGCCTCACGTGGTGTAGTAATTCCCTCACAGATGGTGTTATGAGGGGCCTCACGTGGTGTAGTAATTCCCTCACAGATGGTGTTATATGAGTGAGGTGTGGTTCCAGGCCTTCCTATCGTAGACGGATTAACACATCGCTGGTAGTTGGGTCTCACGGGCCGTTATCACTGGGTACCTGGGACCTCACTGTGTGAAAGGTCAACTTGGGTACCACTGTTACTGTTGAGTTGTTCTCACTGACTTAAGCACTGTTCACCACTGTTCACCTCTGTTTAACACTGGTTCCATTTCTTTCCTAAATGAAATAGTAACTTCTGGCGTGAACTTGTTGATATTCCGGTGGGGAGGAGGGTTCAGGGGAGGGAGTTGGTATGGGCCAACATAACAGTTGACCTGGCTGCTCCGAGAGGAGCGCCAGGTACGTCTTGACCCTTCGGTGGTCAAGGATGTAGTGTGTGTGTGTCTGTGTGTGTGTGTGTGTGTGTCTGTGTGTGTGTCTGTGTGTCTGTGTGTGTGTCTAGGATCAGCTGACAGGTCCACACAGATGACTAACCACTGGACCGACTCTCAGGGTTCCCACTGGACCGACTGTTCCGTATGCTGACGGCAGGAGCTGATGCAGGGTGTGTGGACCAGGAGGGGCGTGTGGGCGTGTGTATGTTGCGGCCACAGTGTAGGAGTGCCGGGGGGACACCTTCCTCCTCCTGCACCTTCGGGTTTGCCTCCTGTTGTATAGGTAAGGATACTGTCCCACCACCACCTACCCTAACCTCACCTAGCCCAGCACCTACCCTACCCTAACCTCACCTAGCCCAGCACCTACCCTACCCTACCCTAACCTAGCCCAGCACCTACCCTACCCTACCCTAACCTAGCCCAGCACCTACCCTACCCCTAACCCTCACCTAGTAGCCACACCAACCCTACCCTAATCCCCACCTAGCCCAGTGCACCTACTCTACCCTAACCTCACACCTAGCCCAGCACTAACTCCTACTCCTAACCTCACCTAGCCTAGCACTAACCCCTACCCTAACCTCACCTAGCCCAGCACCCACCTCTACTCCTACCCTCACCTAGCCGAAGACTAACCCTACCCTAACCTAACCTAGCCCAGCACCTACCCTACCCTAACCTAGCCCAGCACCTACCCTAACCTAGCCCAGCACCTACCCTACCCTAACCTAGCCCAGCACCTACCCTACCCTACCCTAGCCCAGCACTAACCCTACCCTAACCTTCCGTGTCTCATCAACTCACTTGCTCTTAAATCGATCACCCTCAAAGTGTTATGCCAATTAGAAGGTTGATGTAGGTAATATAGTGTTATGCCAATTAGAAGGTTGATGTAGGTAATATTGTGTTATGCCAATTAGAAGGTTGATGTAGGTAATATAGTGTTATGCCAATTAGAAGGTTGATGTAGGTAATATAGTGTTATGCCAATTAGAAGGTTGATGTAGGTAATATAGTGTTATGCCAATTAGAAGGTTGATGTAGGTAATATAGTGTTATGCCAATTAGAAGGTTAATGTAGGTAATATAGTGTTATGCCAATTAGAAGGTTGATGTAGGTAATATAGTGTTATGCCAATTAGAAGGTTGATGTAGGTAATATTTCAGTCAGGCGAGAATGACACAAGGACACAGTTTATATAAAAGGGAAATAAATGAAGCATAATCAACAACTAGAATTCGCTCGTGTAACTTTTAATAAGCTACACGGATTCTTCATCTGTCCTTATTCCTTATGTGTCTTTTATATTTTATACTGATTTATATGGAAAATAAGAGCGAGCTTCTCACCTAGTGTATGGTAAAACAAACGTAACACAAATAACATGGTGAAGACGGTTTACAATCCAGATTACTGACTTTATTTACTCATATTTTCCTTCTTTCTGGGTTTGTTGGAAATCTGTACAGTTTAATTCCCTTCTAACTATTACTACCGATGACACAACAGCACGGCAGCTCACATTATGTTCACTTAAGGAATATGATCTATGTGACTCTACAGGTGAACTGGGGACTGGGTGGTGTAAAGATGGAGTCCAGTAACCGCATGAACACGGGACCTAACCTAACCAAACCATACAAAACCTAACCTAACCCACAAAATATTACAGAGAATATTACAAAACATTACAGCATGGTACAAAGTGTTACAATACATTACAGGGCGTTATTAAGCAGGTTTGCGCGACTGATTACTCGTAATTAGGTAACAGTTCACCTCATTACCGCTATTATTATTATTATTAGTTACCAGGAAATACTTTTTATACGAGATAATTATTTAGGTTGTGTAGGGATGAACAGGTAGTGGGGGTGTTTAACAGGTAGTAGAGGGGTAACTAACTCATACTGTGCTTACCTCACGTTTTCTTCCGGTCGGCACTACAGAAAACGCATCAGGGTTGACTGTCCTAAAATAAAAACACAAATATATTTAATGAGGGTAATGCAAACAATACAGGTACACAAACAAACAATACTATCCAACCAGGACCGATATGTAACACTGGTTTGGAAACAGAGTAGTGGATGAGTGGAACAAGTTACCAAACATCATCATTAACTCTAATACGCTGGATAGCTTCAAACAGAGGCTGGATGGATATATGAGCGATAGGGGTTGGGTGTAAACGGGACTGACCAGTATAGACCCGCTGCTGTTTCCTCCATTCATATGTTAATAGATCCACTCAACCAAAGAGAAGTTGTTCTTATCTTTCCAGCTTTTATATCAACATGTGGAACTGAGACACAAGGCAACAAAACATACTGGGTGTCTACTGAACCATCCCCCACCAACCTTGATGCTACAGGAGGCAGGATTGACACTACAGGAGGCAGGATTGATGCTACAGGAGGCAGGATTGATGCTACAGGAGGCAGGATTGATGCTACAGGAGGCAGGATTGACACTACAGGAGGCAGGATTGATGCTACAGGAGGCAGGACATGTACTCTACGCATCAGGAAAATGTCTCCCTCGGTCTGTTTTATAAGGCTGGATCTCCTACAGTTTAAGGTATTGTAACTGTAGATCTTTATAAATATTCCTGTAGTGAAATATGTTGCCAAAACTTCTCTACAATGACCAATAAGTAAAAAAAAAATATAGATAGATTGATAGATAGTTAACAGTCATTTAAAATGTATATAGACAATGCATAACCCCACTTGACCTATCATCTAACAGCCTCACTTCACCTCTAACAACCTCACTTCACATCTAACAGCCTCACTTGACCTCTAACAACCCCACTTCACCTCTAACAACCTCACTTGACCTCTAACTACTCCACATCACCTCTAACAACCTCACTTGACCTCTAACTACTCCACATCACCTCTAACAACCTCACTTGACCTCTAACAACCTCAATTCTTGACCCCCAACAATCCCAATTTGACCCCAACAACCCCATCATGGACCTCTAACTACTCCACATCACCCTAACAACCCCACTTCATTCCCAACAACCTCATAATTTGATCTCAATAATCCTAATTTCACCCCAACAAATCCCACTTGACCACTAACTACCCCAGACTTGGACTCTTTAATGACCCAACAACAGCTAGCAGGCCAGAGGAAGGAGCTGTACCAAAGATTATTTGTTTCAGTCCGGTCAAACCTCAACTCAGTCCTCTACACTCTGGGCGGACAAAAAACTCTGACAACACTGTGAGTCCCCTGCAGCCGGTTATCTATGTGTATATAGTTGCACGTTTATTACTATAATACACACACACACGCACACACCATTTGTTCTAATACGCGACATATGAACAGTACACACACACATTACATACATCAATCACTGTACATACTAAAAATACACACACACACACGCACACACACACACACACACACCCGTCAAGCAATACACACCAAAGCACACACACCATTTGTTCTAATACGCACATATGAACAGTACACACACACACATTACATACATCAATCACTGTACATACTAATACACACACACAGACCCGTCACACACACACACACGCACACACACACACACACACATGGCCTGTCGCTAATACAATACACACAACACCCTGCACACATGTGCCATGCACACACACACATGCACACACACACACACCTGTCAAGCACACGCCATGAACACCTCCGACAGTGTACGCGGACGTGACAGTGTACGAGCCGTGTACAGTTGAATGATCGTGGACCAATGGAGGAGACTTTTTACCCGCCGCTGGGAGATCAAGGTGTCCCGTGTAAGCAAGCTAGGTTAGGGGTATGGGTAGTTAGGTTATGGTTAGTTAGGTGCGTTAGGTTAGGTTATGGTTAGGTTAGGGCATGGTTAGGCATGGTTAGGTTAAGGTATGGTTAGTTAAGTTGATTAATAAGCCCTCCTCCTCCTCCCTCCTCCTTCTTCCATCTCCTCCTCCTCCTGCTCTTTCTTCCTCCTCCCTCCTCCTCCTCCTCCTCCTCCTTTCCTTCCATCTCCTTCTCCTCCTCCTGCTTCTTTCTCCTCTCTCAGACATGCAACACTCTGTACACATTACACAACGCACTCCAAACGTAACCTCCATCTAACAGTCCCTATAGAGACAAAGAAAGTCCATTATATCAAGGATCCATTATACCGAGGGTCCGATATAAAAACCCTATCTAACAGTCCCTATAGAGATGAAAGAAAGTCCATTATATCAAGGACCCCATTATATCAAGGATCCATTATAACGAAGGTCCGTTAGATATAAAACCCTATCTAACAATCCCTATAGAGATGAAAGAAAGTCCATTATATCAAGGATCCATTATATCGAGGGTCCATTCTATCAAAGACCCCATTATATCAAGGATCCATTATAACGAGGGTCCGTTAGATATAAAACCCTATCTAACAGTCCCTATAGAGATGAAAGAAAGTCCATTATATCAAGGATCCATTATATCGAGGGTCCGCGATATAAAAACCCATCTAACAGTCCCTATAGAGATGAAAGAAAGTCCATTATATCAAGGGTCCATTATATCGAGGGTCCATTATATCGAGGGTCCATTATAACGAGGGTCCGTTAGATATAAAACCCTATCTAACAGTCCCTATAGAGATGAAAGAAAGTCCATTATATCAAGGATCCATTATCTAACAGTCCCTATAGAGATGAAAGAAAGTCCATTATATCAAGGGTCCATTATAACGAAGGTCCGTTAGATATAAAACCCTATCTAACAGTCCCTATAGAGATGAAACAAAGTCCATTATATCCAGGTCTCACCATACACCAACTGAACGGCACCCTTATATAGAGAGAACACCATACCCTAACCTAACCTAACCGTATATTTTCCCCGCTACAGATAGAGTGTCAGTCGCCCCATCGGCCACCTGCTAATTGCCTACAGTACTACACCGGGACACAGGGTCTATTCTCTTCGTTCAATTATGACTCCGATGCTGATTCTATGTACCTGGTATGTATTTACCTTATATCAGGTGTATAAGTTGTATTTACATTATAGCAGGTGTATAAGTGTTGTATTTACATTATAGCAGGTGTATAAGAGTTGTATTTACATTATATCAGGTGTAAAAGTGTGTAAATTATAGGTAGTTGTTGTATTAATATTATAGAACGTTAAATTAATACTTTTCCCATTCATAAATACTGTATGTGTATAGATGAACCAGAGTTGAATAAGTCCTTCATTTATTCACTAAAATACATTCATACACTAACTAAAATTAATACAACATTAATTTTAATAATCCAACAACCTAATACAGTAGTTATTTTTTACAACAACAACAACAACAATAACCCGAACTAATACAGTCGAGTCAAACCTCTATTTAATCGGCTATTACAAGAGGAAAGTTCATTATATCGAGGCTCCGTTAGATGTGAAACCCTCATATGGATGTTTCAGGCATTAATCTTTCCCACAACAACAACAACAGGTTAAAAATGTAAATACAAGTTAATACAATAATACAATACTTTATTTTTCCCCTAGAATAACCTGAACTACGCCATCTGTCTGAGGAAGGAGGCAGGCTTCTGTTCCGTTGTGTACAATAACATTCTTCCAACAAACGAGAAGTCATTCGAAATAGTCAACTTCCAAGTGGATTCTGGTAAGTGTAGTATAATACTGTACTGTACTACTACTACTACTACTACTACTACTACTACTAAAACTACTAATAATACTGTAGCAATAAAAATAAAAATAATACTGTAATAATAATAATAATAATAATAATAATAATAATGAGTGATATCTCTGTTAGCCGGAACAATTGATGCAGAACACTTCTGGGAGGGACATATTCCGGGTAATGAGGCGACTCTCTCAAAGCCGGAAACAAAATCCCTCGCCCCAAGAATTTTCCAGGTAACGGGAAAATGTTCTCCGAAGTTACAGAAATTGTGCATTACATCATCTCTCAAACACGGAATAAACTCCCCCATCCCCATCTCAAAATTTTCCAGAAAATGTGCCCTTCAAAAATCGCTCCCATAGCCGTTATTTTCCGGAAAATTCCAACTTTGGGAATGATTTTTAGAGAAAATTTCAATTCTGGTTATCGGAGAGTTCCCGGTTTGGGGGATTCTGACTAACAGAGATATTACTTAATACTGTAATACTGTACAGTAGTGATAAATTAAAAACAGTATACGTAACAATAATAAATTAATAACAGGATACGTAATAATAATATTATTTCACTGTTAAAAGTTTACAAATACTTTATGTTAATCAAGGTAGTGTATGTGTGTCATTGTATGAACCTACAGTATTTATGAGCTGAAAAATGAGTGAAAGACTGTTAATAAAATCAATGTTAACTTATAGGTGAGATTATTGAAGCTGTATACAGTGTGTGTGTGTGTGTGTGTGTGTGTGTGTGTTTTAGCATGAGGGTATTTGATCATCAACTAAAGGATGCCTATTCTTTATATGATTCCTCTTTCTGTACACTAGAATGCTCATTTACTAGTTACTAGCCATACATACAGCCATCACTAGCCAGATACATCAGCCACTAGCCACAGATAACCTAACCAAACACTGTCCTTGTTCCTTCCAGCGGGTGCGGTCAATCCCACCGTGTCCACAGGAGAGGCGGGAGTCGGCCTCATCCAATGTGTGGACGATTACCTGATCATGGCGGGGACCAGACTGTGTGGCCACCGACTCAACGATGGCTCTAGTCCACAGCCCACTGATAACGCTCCCATCACAGGTAATAAACCATAATACTCCTCCATTACCAAGATTAATAGTGAGTCTTATATATTGTGGGGGTTTTTCTTCTCTTTACGACTCATTAACCGGGGTAAATCTGACGTGTTTAGAAAGGTCACATTACTTGGAAACACTCAAAGCCATTTCACTCCTCTGACCATTATCCCGGGTCAAGTTCACTATCAAATACCCCTGCTTCCTGAACATACACTCATTAACTGCCCATCATTTAAATACAGTGTTTCAGTACAATACAGGTGTTCCTCGGTACAGGTAAGGGGATCCGTGCCTGAAAAAATCCTAAAATTGTCATTCTTGTAGTGTTGCATTAGATCATTATAATCATCATCGTCCACACTTAATTGGGGCGCGATTCCATTCTTTCATCCATCACTCTTGCTATCATAGTAGAGTACTGCGTTGTGTCGAGTATTAAAAGATCCCTCTCACGAATGACCTTCTCTCCCCTAGACACGACCAATGGGCCTTTCATCGTTCAGTTCACCAGTGACGGCTCATACACGGGTCAAGGCTTCCAGTTATTCTACCAACAATACTCTTGCTAAAATGAACTATACTAAAGTCTATAATGTGATACAATACTAAACCTCTGTTAGTGTTAAAGTATTAGTTATTTTGTTAAGTTAGTAAAATATTTCTTGTATTTATTGTCACTCTGTACTGTATGTGAAGTAACCTGTTGTCACTCTGTACAGTACGACTATATGAAATACACTGTAATTTATCTTGACCTTCCTGTAACTGTATTCTGTGCTGTATCAGGAACACTACAAATAAATACAGTGTTGAGGTCAGGTTAGGTTAGTATTCTGCATCAATATACTGTACTCACTATGTAAGATAACCAGCTCAGCAAATAATGATTAATAATTTACAAGTTTACTGTTACAAAGGCACCACTATAATGTATGACCAAAAACACACAAATTATTTACAAAAAACTTCATTTACAAGAGAATTTACAAAAACAATTTACAAAACATCAATCAATATACATGTACTGATCTCCTATAGAATAATTTATCTATATATATACTATACATTTTATATATATTTTCTTATCAATAAACTAATGTATTTATATAAGTTAATTTACTTTGCTTATTTACAGTGTTTGGTCAATGTTGAATCAGAGGCATCAAGGGTGAGTGAGGGTGGAAGGTGCGTGTCATAGGGTGCGTGTGTCATAGGGTGCGTGTGTCATAGGGTGCGTGTGTCATAGGGTGCGTGTGTCATAGGGTGCATGTGTCATAGGGTGCGTGTGTCATAGGGTGCATGTGTCATAGGGTGCGTGTGTCATAGGGTACATGTTATAGTGTGCATTAGAGAGAGTGTGTTATACAGTGGGTCTTTGTAACTCATAAGGGCTTTCATTTATAAAAGTCATTAACGGGACAATTTTTCCCATCTAAACCATGTAACTAAGGAAGGTTCAGTTCCTAGCGGGTCAAGTCAGGTCACATTTGTTGGTTAGTCTACGGTAAAGTGCGGAGAAATGCGTACTAATCCCATAGAAACTTTGTAGCCATAGACAGATACTACAGATCACAGATGGCGCTGGTGGTCATTATTTACCTCGGGCCTCCTTAACCCACGACACGACCTAGCTTATTTAGTTTAATTTACGGATGTGGCAATAAATATTAAACCTCACTATACACAACGTAGGTACAGACACACAGAACAACCGCCGGTACAAATGACTGCCGGAGAAATAAACAGACTCAACTAACGACTCACTTCAAATTGTTACGGGGAGAAATTAGGTCATTTCTCTAATCTTCCTCAACAATTAGCAGCCATTTGCCGATCATAATATGTAAATACGACGGAATATTCATCTGATATTAGAAAAAGTTAGTATTAATCTCAAATTTACCTCCATATATACCAGATCTCACTTCTTCATTATACCCTCATAGTCACTGTACCCTCATAGTCACTGTACCATCATAGTCACTGTACCATCATAGTCACTGTACCCTCATAGTCACAGAGTTAGGTTACAGTCTGTCAGCCACGTCATCTTTGCCCCCCGGTGTCTTCGCCTCTTCTCCGTGCCTCCTACCTAAACAATGACAGAAAACCCAATGATGAAATACTGGGCGTCGGTCTCAATAAAATGTATACGCACCGCATTACAGAGTTATGGGCGACAGGGTGAGTTTTGTATTACATTATCAACATTGTTCTCACTTGCTACAAACATTCCTAAAATTGCCATGAAAATCTGTAAGGCAGTGTAGGCCTAAATATATTTTGGGAGACCTATACCTATCCTGTATTTCTGTGTGCACATGCACTCATGTGTGTGTGCACACACACACACACACACATCTGTGAGGGAACTACTACATCATCAGGCCCTTCGTAACACCACCTGTGAGGGAATTACTACACCACGTCAAGCCCCTCATAACACCACCTGTGAGGGAGTTACTACACTACGTGTCTGCTGTTCAACACCTCAGCTAACATGATCTACGTGTGTAAACATTAATCTGTATGTTCACTGTATGTTCCTTTACCTTTCTCTAATGAAGGCTTTTGTTAAACCACCAATGTATGTAATAAGTCATTTATGTCCAATGAATATTTTCAGCCTTCGGGCTGCAAACTTTTTCAATAAACCGTTTATTATTATTATTATTATTATTATTATTATTATTATTATTATTACACACACACATACACACACACACACACACACCGGGTCTTGGCAAATTTTCAACACATATTCAGAGTTATCATTAACAGCTTCAAACATACTACTGTACAATACTGTTCTGACATAACTTGATTTATGAAAACTCGACTTACAAAAAAATCTGATTTACGAAATCTGTCAATTTAATGAGGCGAAGAGAAAGGGAAGAAAGATTATCAACTAAAGGAGGAGAGTTAATAAGACGAAATGCCTTTGATTCCACCCTATCTAACAGTTGAAGAGCCACCCCAGATATGAGAGCAGTACTCCAAGCTAGGATGAATGAATCCCTTATAAACTTGAAGCAACTGCTCAGGAGTGAAGTAGCTACGGCATCTGTACAGCATTCCCAACTATCGGGAGGCAGCTTTAGCAATGTTGAAGATGTGTGGCTTCCATGACATATTAGAGGAAATGGTGAGGCCTAGCATATCTATTTTAGAACTCAGCAGAATGAATGCATCCTGAAATGTGATTGGTGGGAGAACATCTAATTTGGAAAGTGTAATTGGTAAATATTGAGTTTTATTACTATTGAACTTAACCAAGTTTGTACCTCCCCATTCAGAGATGCTGCACAGATCCGCATTGATAGAAGTAATGATATCAGCTCTAGAAACAGATCTAGTATGAAAGTTAGGAGGAAGGGGTAGCAGTTATGACTTAACTTGATAAATATTACCGCCACAGACACCAGATTATAGGAGTTGGGGGGGGGTATTAGTATCGTACAGGTGGTCACAGGTCCTGCCTCTACCTTCCCATATGAGGTGAGGTGACAGGAATTATGACATCACAGGACAGGTGTTGCCATCACCATTTAGAGGAACACAAGTGACCTATGAATTGAGACACAATAAATCTTAATGTTTTAAAATGTTTATCTAACTTTTCCCATAAAAATCCCAGGTAAGCAAAGTTCCTGACCTGTGATGGTCGTTAACAAAAGGTAGTCACAATCACAGAATTTTATGTTGATTTTAATACTGAGGGATGCAGCAAAATGAAATGTCTGTTGATGTAATATATCTCGACTTTCAAAATGCATTTGATAAGATGCCACACCAAGGACTTTAAGAAAAAATGGTATAGTAAGTTAACTAGGCAGATGGATGGAAGATTGTCTAATAGGCAGACTACAACAAGTTTATTGCTGCTAGGAAGACAAAATGACATGAGGTATCCCACAGGAGGCAGTTTAGGATCCCTACTTGTTGTAATATAAATAATCTCCCAGAAATAATAAACACAAACATCTTCCTACTTGTGGATGATACAATAATTATCACTGTAATAAACAGCTAAAAAGACCAAGATAGAGTACAAGAAAACGTTAATAAGATGGATGAATAAAATGTGGAATGACTTCTTAAATTCTACCCTGAGAAATGTAAATACTTGTACACCATTATCACCATACCACCATTACCACCATATAGACAGAGAAGCAGAAGAACTATGAGACACAGCTACAAGTAGTCTCATGAGAAAGAAATTAGAGTAATAATTAACAAGATGCAATTTGAAGAACATAAAGAAAAGCTAAGAAAACAAATTTAGTGACGGGAATCATAAGAAAAACATTCATACCTTAGTACAAATCAATGTTAAGGTTCATACTTCAATTGTGTGAGCTCAGTATGGAGTCCCTACACAAAATAATAATAATAATACTGTAATTGAAAAGATGGAAGCAGTCCAATGAAGATCTGTTAAACAATTACTTGGGCTGCAAAACTAACCCACACCCAGAGAGGTTAAGGAAATTAAAGCTGTTTAGTCTGAGATACAGACAAATATGGAGGGAGGGGAGGGTATGATGGAGATAAATGGTTACTATGATACTGATGGCAGCAGCTGTGGAGGGATATATAACCCAACCTAACCTAAACCTAACCTAACCTAACCTAACCCAACCTAACCTAAACCTAAACCTAACCTACCATCCTAAATATCACTGGATGACCAAAACGATAATACAATAACTTAACCTAACCTAACCAACCTAACCTAACCCAACCTAACCTAACCTAACCTAAACCCAAACCTAAACCTAACCTAACCTAACCTAACCTAACCTAACCTAACCCAACCTAACCTAACCTAACCTAACCTAACCCCCAACCTAACCTAACCTAACCTAACCCAACCCCTAACCTAACCTAACCTAACCTAACCTAACCTAACCCAACCTAACCTAACCTAACCTAACCCAACCTAACCTAACCTAACCTAACCTAACCTAACCTAACCTAACCTAACCCTAACCTAACCTAAACCTAAACCTAACCTACCATCCTAAATATCACTGGATGACCAAAACGATAATACAATAACCTAACCTAACCTAACCTAACCTAACCTAACCTAACCTAACCTAACCTAACCTAACCTAAACCTAACCTAACCTAACCCAATGACAGCACGACTAACCCATGACCCAACCCACCTTACCCTAAATCATCCATTATCTCACATTAATAACACCATATAATTCCTCAATATCATTAAACTTACTCTTTATGATAACTAATTAAGATGACATACCTTTAGTCTTGGTTTAATTGGTTGTTAGAACACAATCAATAGTTACTGAGGTGAGATAGGGTCAGTCTTTGTTGATGTTGATCTCTACTAACACCGGGTTATGTAGTTAAGATATGAAGTCATTTATCTATTTTATAATTACATGTATATTTATTTACCTTATTAAATGTCTGTTATTTGTTTAATTTATAATATTTATTTGTTTTTATAAAGGGTTTAATAGGTGAGGTATATTAAAGTTGTTTTTTTACTGTTACATGATTCATATATATTATAGAGGTTGTTAGGTCGGTTACACTCCGTAGTTAACACATCAACTGTCATCTATGTTAATTTATTTAGTTTATATTATGATCTTTTAATGCTTATTTACTCCTCAAAACAGCAAACTTGAGATAATCTGAAAATTAGCCCCCTAGATTATTCCACCACCACTAATTATTCCTACCACAAACTCCACTATGAACTGAGTTAACTTAGTACAGTATTCAATGACCTGGATTAACCTCAGTAACTACTTGTTGGGTTGATAAACTACCCTGACCACAATGGGCAGTCAGGAAACAACTTTGAATCTAATTAACTTAATTTGTAAATAGGGTAAAGGTGTATTAGAGGGTGACCACCAGAAGGAATTGTTTTAATATTTTCTACACATTAATATATTAAACACAAAAATGGTAACGACATTGCACAGAACCTGATATAATATACCCAACCTAGGGGACTGTTAGGTCAGGTTCTATGTATTATCGTGTTAATTTATGTGTTAAACAACTTTATCTTAATATTGGGGTTAATATACATCAGCAATGGCGAGGAGGAATTAGTGGAAGAGTTCATCATTCTTTATAAATAATATCAAGGAAATTATGGTAAGATAAGGGATAAGGAGCTTGAATATGATCCATTACTGTACGTCATAAGCGACCTCTTCCCCCCCCCCCCTTCAACCATGTTCCAGCATTATCTAACACACTTCAAATAACAATATAATATCACATTCACGCTTTATTATACACTATTTTACATAAATATTTTTTATGTACAATTAATATATGTATTTAGATTTTAAATGATCTAAATATGATGAGATTAAAGGCTATATAATATTTTATTAAGACCGTCGAGGCGCTTCAACATGGCGGAGACAGCAAGACTCATGAGACAATGGCTGTGATTGTGTCAGATAAGATGTCTATTTTAAGCCTCATGCCAGGACACAGAGGTCACCCAGCTGGTGTTTCACGTCTCGAAGAATAGTGTCTAACATGGGGTAACTTATCTAAGATGAAATAAACACAAAATATGGAGTATATTTTATAATACCTTGAGACACAACGTTGTTATATATTTCATTAAATAAACCGAGAAAAATTAACATTTTCATGGTTCTTCTCTTACTCACAGGATCTGACCCCCTGAGTACGATAAATTCACTGGGGTTTAAATCGTACTCAAGGGGTCAACTCATTGTACTCAAGGGGTCAACTTATTGTACTCAAGGGGTCAACTTATTGTACTCAAGGGGTCAACTCATTGTACTCAAGGGGTCAACTCATTGTACTCAAGGGGTCAACTCATTGTACTCAAGGGGTCAACTCATTGTACTCAAGGGGTCAACTTATTGTACTCAAGGGGTCAACTCATTGTACTCAAGGGGTCAACTTATTGTACTCAAGGGGTCAACTTATTGTACTCAAGGGATACAATATATCAATGTAAACTCACATTCTCTGTATTATATAAATTTTACTTCAGAATTTAATATTTTAAGAATCATATTTTTACTATAGATAACTGCCATAGGCCTACTCAACTTATGTAGCCTACAAGCTGAATATTATTTTAGGAACACACTTTAATGTAACTAGTTTAATATTATACTGTATTAGTAATCGTAGACTATAGGGAAAAGGACTTGTAACCATGATGAATACATTAGCTAAAATATATATTCTGGAGGATTTGTTGTATAAATTAGAAGGATTAATACTTCTTACCAACCTCCATCTGTAGGGCGTCTGAAGGACTCTCCTCACTCATCTCCGGGCCGTGGTAGGAGTAACTCAGACACTCCTACCCCCTCAGACTGTGTTACTGTAGAGGTGTTATGTGTAATCTACAGAAAACATTATCTACACACTGTAAAGGCAAACATATTGATACATACGTGAGAACTACATAGAACTGAGTAACTACAAAATTATGTCCATTAAGTTGATAAAAGTAATACAGGACAATATGTTAACATCTCGATTAACAGGTAAATGGGTATGGTGTTCCTCAAGGTCACCACCACACACACTCAGCAGCAGGCAATGTCAGACGGTCAGTGAGAGTCCTTCCTCAGGGTCAACTGGGAGGGAAGCGGAGGAGGGCAATGGAGCTCCACCAACCCAGGATGAGATACGACCTTTTGGTGAAATTCCCGGCCCTCGCTCACTGCCAATTATCGGAACTTTATATCACTATTTGCCTGTTATCGGTGAGTCCCTGTTATCTGTAAGGCCCTGTTATTGGTGAGTCCCTGTTATCTGTAAGGCCCTGTTATTGGTGAGTCCCTGTTATCGGTGAGTCCCTGTTATTGGTGAGTCCGTGTTATTGGTGAATCCCTGTTATTGGTGAGTCCCTGTTATCGGCGAGTCCCTGTTATCGGTGAGTCCCTGTTATCGGTGAGTCCCTGTTATCGGTGAGTCCCTGTTATCGGTGAGGCCCTGTTATCGGAAAGGCCCTGTTATCGGTAAGGCCCTGTTAACAAGATGCCATTATGATAGATACATGTTTTTATAATCTAATTTAGTCTCAATTTAGGATAACCTGAAAATTAGGCTCCCAAACTTATTTTACCTGATGATTAAACACCCTAACGCTACAGGTGGTGGTGGTGGTGGTGGTGGGGGGGAGGTTAAATTAGGTTAAATACACCTGAAAAAACCCAACTACTGTACTTACCTTAGTCTTGTTGGGTGTTAATGTAGTTTTCGGTGTTCAGGTGAAGGGGGATACCATTAACTCTTAAACCGACTTTTTAATTTGTTTGTAGGTTAGATTAGTGTTATAAAGGTTTGTTTGGTATTATTAACTTGAAAACCTATTTTTCTGGGGTAATTTAGTGTTAACGGTAAATTTAACCTTCATTTCCAAGGGCAATCTTAAGTCAATGGAAAAATGGAAAAATCGTTATTTCCTTGAAAACCACTAATTTCCTTATTTACCTGAAGATTAGACACCCTAGTTTATTTCACCTGAAGATTAGACACCCTAGTTTATTTTACCTGATGATTAGACACCCTAGTTTATTTTACCTGAAGATTAGACACCCTAGTTTATTTTACCTGAAGATTAGACACCCTAGTTTATTTACCTGAAGATTAGACACACCTTTATTTCACCTGAAGAAGATTAGACACCCCAGTTTATTTTACCTGAAGATTAGACACCCTAGTTTATTTTGAAGATTAGACACCCTAGTTTATTTTACCTGATTAGACACCCTAGTTTATTTTACCTGAAGATTAGACACCCTAGTTTATTTTACCTGAAGAAGATTAGACACCCCAGTTTTATTTTACCTGAAGAAGATTAGACACCCCTGTTTATTTTACCTGAAGATTAGACACCCTAGTTTATTTCACCTGGGGATTAGACACCCTAGTTTATTTCACCTGGGGATTAGACACCCTAGTTTATTTCACCTGGGGATTAGACACCCTAGTTTATTTTACCTGATGATTAGCCACCCTAGTTTATTTCACCTGGGGATTAGACCCGACTTGTGTGGAGGGATGTTGTATGGTGATATTTGTTTATCTCACTACTCAACCTTTTTAGTGATGGTGCCTTAATAAACAGAGTATGACATTGTTATTCGTTAATTAAGGCGATCTAATTGAGGAGAGCGGGTTTTTGTCTCATTGATAAGTTTGAAGCGAGAGTGAAGTTAATGTGTTTTATCCCCAGGACAGATAATACAGTATTTTGAAGTTTGAAGCAAGAGTGAAGTTATGTGATTTTTTAAAGTATGAAGCAAGAGTGAAGTTATATTTCCCTGTGTTTTAACCTCAAGGACAGATAATATTTTGAAGTTTGAAGCAAGAATGAAGTTAGATATTTTGAAGTTTGAAGCAAGAATGAGGTTTAATACTCCTATCTTACACCCCCCAGGACAGTATACGTTTAGCCGGCTGCACCACACCGGCCTCCTGAAGCTGAAGCAGTTTGGACCCATCGTGCGGGAGAGGCTGGTTGGTGACGTGACTCTGCTCCTCCTGTTCGACCCGAGGGACATAGAGACCATGTACTCCACTGAAGGCCGCTACCCCATGCGTCGTTCACACACCGCTCTGGAGAAGTACCGTCTAGACCGACCCCACATGTATAACACGGGAGGACTCTTACCTACGTGAGTACTGGTGGACTCTGCCATTTGTCAGTGCAGGTACCAACTAACTCTGTAATGCTGACGGACTCCTGTGTGGGTATTGAGTTGAGTACTACAACACTGGTGACTGGAGGTGAGTACTTTCCTTGACACCCTAGACCAGGGGTGTCAAACATGCAGCCCGACACATTCTTGCACGCGGCCCATTTGCTGCTCCAGCCTTACCTTGAGGAGCTAAAACTAAATAGTGAGTGTATCCCTCAGCTGAATAAAATAGTCCGCTGTTTCCTAGAACAATATACTCAATCAACATCACCAATGAGCTCCAGTGTGAGTCTGTGTTGAGGAGCAAGTTTTCGAGCGTTGATGTTGTCACATTTTATCAATATTTTAGACCAAATTATCCCAGGATTAAATGTTTTGCCTCAAAGATTATGCCAATGTTCGGAAGTACATTTGTCAGTGATGAACGTGAACAAGTCTCGGCATCGGTCTCAACTTACTGATGCGCACCTTAATTCAATACTGAAGGTTGCAACAGCTCAGTCTTTGATGCACTGGTCCATACCAAGAGGCGCCAATTATCAGGAAGCAGCAGTAGCAAACAATAACCTAACCTTGATTTGTTTGTTGTTAAGGGTTTCCCACGAGCGCAGACTAAATCCACCTTTCTTATTTTGTCGTGCTACTCGCCTAAGAAGTGATTGCGAAGTGCTCATGATTATATTACTTGTCCCGCATACTGTGTACTCATATTAAATCTGGCCCGCCTTGGCAGATGAGTTTGACACCCCTGCCTTAGATTATTTCACCTGAAGACACACACTTTCCCTCCGCTGTACCACCGACCTACCCTGACAACACTAACCTCTCCCTCATCTGTGCCTTAAACACTCTTCCAGGAATGGCCAGAAGTGGTGGGATATCAGGCGTCGGGCACAGAAGGTGTTGAGTCGTGTACAGAGCGTCTTGACCCGCCTTCCACACATTAACAAGGTGAGTGTGATCTTGCATACCATCACATAGTAACTACATTAAGTTGTGGTGAAGATATATATGACACAGAACCATATTGTATGTAGAACTCAGCCATCCCAAGTCACCTGTGTTGTGTACCTATAAGCATAACACTCCTGCTCAGATGTCCTCAAATAGTTTCATGTTATTCTTGCAGCTGTGCCTTCCAAAAGAAAAGTTTTAATACACAATAATACAGAATATAAAACGTAAAATACATCCATATACTGTATATATAATATTCTCTCTATATTTGTTCTCTCTCTCTCTCTATCCTCTTCCATAACCCCAGACCTTGGCATAGTGATGTCAAGTACTGTACATGAATTTCTCTGCAGGTGACCCGTGACTTCAACGACCTTATAGACAGTGTGCGGTGTCCCCAGACTGGCCTAATATCCAATTTCCTTGACCTTGAACGACGGCTATTTCTCGAGTGTAAGTAAAATACTACCCGTCAATAATACTCAAACACGAAGAAATAATTTTAATATGGCGTTCTTTATTCCATCAAACAAAACTGTAATGTATTCAGTATTGCTGTAAATTAGAATCACTACCTGTAATCTGAAGTTAATGTGTTGAAAGAGAAGCATTAATATCTGGGAGCATTCAGGGAAAACTTTATTAAAAAACTTATTTATGTGTGTGTAGTTTTCAGAGGCTCGCAGCTTGACCAATTACGATGATAAATTTCAAGAGATAAATGTGTACTGTATTCCTATGATTACAGTCTTCTGAGTCTCCATTATGTTGTATTACAGTATTAACTAGTAAGAAAAATGCTGTACTATATAGTATTTCTTAACCTATACAGAATTCAGAACATACTTTATACACTTCATCCTCTGTATATACTCTCACATTAAAAAGTTTTTGTGTATAACATATTTTATGATGTATTGGCCAAGTATATGAAGCGTATCGTCTATCGGATAAGTATTTCACACGTCTAACAACCAACGGTGGATGTGTCGGCAGTAACGATGGTCGCTACGGTGGATGTGCGACTGGGCTGCATCAACCGGTCGTCTCTAAACATCGTCAACAAAGACGCGGAGGACCTTCTACACGCAGCTCACGCCTCCAATTCCTGCATCATTCACACTGACAATGGATTACAGCTATGGAGGTACTTCAATACTCCGCTATACAAGCAGCTGGTGCGAGGCCAAGACACCATCTATAGGTAATAATAATAATAATGTTTTCTCAGTAAAATTGTCTTGCAGGTTTACAGTTGGATAAGCATGTATATAAACTATGCAGGTATACAACGGAGATAATTAGTTTGTTTGATCTGACTCCTCACAGGTGGATTAGTTTCGAGTTTGTGTACCTCTTGTCGTGTTCAATATATCATTCTATATATGTAATAGTAAGATAAAATGTGTGTGGGACAGTAGAGAGAATTAAGGATGTGAATTACAGAGTGGATGAGGGGTGAGAGGTATTGGAAGGGGGTGGTACTGTACTGTGTCACATGGTCAGTTACCCTTCACTAGCCAAGACTCCAGATATCAATGGCTGAGGCGGGATTCTTTCTCACGACTGATTGGATGATACTTTGTAAATGTGAAATATGACTTTATTTATATCCTTAATTTACAGAATTTGTATAAGCTGTCCAGGAAGTTTATTGTATGGATGTTTTTGTTCCTCTTTTGAGTCTTTTACTGGTCACCTGCCACAGACGAGAGTAAATGCACTCTTCGTGTACCGGTCGTTTATTCACTCAGTCGTAAGTTGAAATATGTAATTAATGTGTGTGTGTGTGTGTGGTGTATGTATGCGTGCATGTGTGTGTTATGGGTGTGTGTGTGTGGGGATTGTGTAGTGTGGTGTATGTATGCGTGCATGTGTGTGTTATGGGTGTGTGTGTGTGTGGGGATTGTGTAGTGTGGTGTATGTATGCATGCATGTGTGTGTTATGGGTGTGTGTGTGTATGTGTTACGAGAAAAAGATAAACCATCCCTACCATAACATATCATCAAACACCTTAACAAACAACTATTGCCAGAATCGCGCTAAAATACGTGGAAGCCAAGGAAGAGGAACTGAGGAAACGAGTAGACAGGAGAGAGAGAGGAGTGGACGAGGACAACGACCGACCTCTCAGCGTCCTGGAGTATTTCATCCTGGAGAGCGGTCTGGATAAGAAGGATATACTAGGTGTTGTCTGTGATACCCTATTGGCTGGCATTGATACGGTAATTTAATCTTTTATCTGTCTATACCTTATTTTTTTAGGTCTATCATCACATATTCCTAGATCGAGAATTTCAAATAGCTACGAATTGTTGGACTGCGACTGATCGACTTACTCTGTGTACATTATGAACGAACTTTTATTTGTAAACATCTAGAGTGTGTGACCATAAGATGATTCAAGTAGGTAGGTAAATAAAATGGGGGGATTAATTTAAGGAGAATCACCATCCTAATAACACCAAGAAATATTGTCCCTTGTTGGGGTGTTGGTCTGCAGTACCTAAGACCTCACTCGGGACCTCCATTGATGATAATGCGAGTTAATGGTTTATGTTGTTTCAGGGAGCCTTCACAATGTCGTACGTGCTGCACAATCTGGCGACCAATCCAGACAAACAGGAGTTGCTGGCGGCTGAAGCTCGGACGCTACTTGCCAGGTCTGGGGGCGAGGTTAGTCGTGACAATACCCACAATTGTGTGTCTTGCTGTGGATTATGAACAAAAGCCACACACATTAGTGAAGTTGTACAGTTAAGTTGAAGCTGTACATTTAAGCTTGAAAGGCAGTTTATCCTTGAGGCTTAACTCCAACCTAACCTTCTTGCTTGAATTTATTTTGGTCCTCCAGTCACTTCACATTAATACAGAGATAACATAATGCTTTTATTTACCATTTATCAGCTCACTTGCCATTTGGTCTATCTAGTGTTAGTACAGGGGAAACTAGTGTGTGGGAAGCCTGTGATGTTTGGTAGTGAGTCATACTGGATAACACCCGCATGTGTCTGGGCCGAGGAAGACTCCAACCCATGACATACTGTACTATATATTCAGCCCATGACATACTGTACTATATATTTTCTTTATGGATAAAATACGAGTCAAAGCGAATAAGTCTCTTTTTCCATTTCACTCTTGACATTAATTGAAGTAAACAAGTTATGGTAACATGTAAGTATGTCTTGAGGGCCTCAGCTCTAACAGCCCATTAGGTACAGTGGTACACATAGAGGCAAGTGTTACCAGGGTTGTATTTTAGTCTTCATTTTCTCAAGTAACTCGGGTACCCATTCACAGCTGGGTCAACTGGGGATGCCTTGGGTGTGAACTAATGGTCTTTGGTACAGGAGATAAATACCGTGTCCTGGGTTCAATCCCCGGCCCAAGACAGATTCGAGAAGGGTGTTATCCTTTGGGACACTACCAAACATGACGGGTTTTTTCCGGTTACTGTCCTACGGTTTCCTCCTGTAGTAACACAAGATGCTATAGGTCATATCAGAGTAACAAAAAACAGACCTGAATGGCTAGTAAACTGATAAATAATGAAATGACAATTAAGAAATAAAATTATCACAAGACTCGAAAATTTCACTAGTGTTATTACGATTTTGTTGATACTTGAATGTTTTTATTATTATTCGTCGTTCATTTTCCTCTGTGCCTTTATAACCCAACCACTTCCTGCAGCTGAGAATGTGACCAATCGTTAGGTACATTTATAGAGTAAGAAAAATGAAATAGCAGTAGTACGTAGATTCTCGATTTACCTTTTTGAGTTTTGATATAAGAACATAAGAATGGAGGAAACAGCAGCGGGTCTATACTGGTCAGTCCTGTTTACACCCAACCCCTATCGCTCATATATCCATCCAGCCTCTGTTTGAAGCTATCCAGCGTATTAGAGTTAATGATGATGTTTGGTAACTTTTTCCACTCATCCACTACTCTGTTTCCAAACCATTGTTTACCTATCTCGCGCCTAAATCTAAATTTGTCTAATTTAAAACCATTGTTACGAGTTCGCTCCTGGTTGGATAGTTTGAGTACCTTTGTCATGTCCCACTTTGTTTAGCCCTGACTTCCATTTATACACCTCAATCAGGTCGCCCCTCACTCACGTCTCTTAAGAGAATTGAAACATCCTTAGTCATATGTCTTACTGTTTACCATTATTGTTTACCTACAATGTCTCAGCACGTAGGAAACTGTACACTCCCACGGCCTATGTGCACCGTTCACCTACATGTGTCTTTATTCAGATTCTGTGGCATATGACCTAAGCTGTTGCATCTCCAGTACCACAATCAATCAATCATTTGTCTATATTCATGCATAGTTTAATACAGGCCTATCAAATTGTAAACCTATGTGATAATTTTATTGAAGATGTCATTATTATTATTATTATTAATTGTCGATCCGTGGAAGTTGAGGATTAATTTTGTATAAGGCAGATGCAAGTAGAAAATGTATGTACAGTATATTGTTGATTGCTTGTGTATAGATGTATATTGTTGATTACTATGTATGAATGTATACTCAGGTGATATAGAAAGGTTAAAATTATGAGCGATCTTATTTGTGGTCAAGATAACCTCCCTGCTGTCCACCCACACCACAGAAGAACAATACTACTTAAGGTACACTCATAGAAGATGTCTTACGATGTTTACTGAGTCTCATGTTGTGTGTTGCTCAAAGGTGACGTCGAGAGTGCTGTCAGAAGCTCGCTATCTGAAGGCGGTGCTGAAGGAGACCTACAGACTTAGGCCCGTTTCCATTGGTGTGGGGCGAATCATTCAAGAGGACGTTGTCATACGAGGCTACAGGATACCTAAAGATGTAAGCTAAAGTTGATTAATCAGTGGATGCCATGTTTGTTGATAATGAGGAAATGGAGAATGCTTACAGAAAATACTGTTATTGATTACTGAATGACGATTATGAATGGGACAGTGGCAGTCTAGGAGCAGTAGAAACAGTACAGGAACCAGACATAAGGATTGGAAGAGAATGGGTGAAGAAAGTAATAGACAAAAAAAAGAATGGAAGCTCTGTAATGGTTGCAGGAAACTGAAAGCATAAGATGGTGTTGGTGTGTCAACGGTGACTGAATTGCTTTGTAAACTCATGATGGGTTACAGTCAACTGGAGGAAGAACGTGTCAATCAGAAGGACCTGAAGCTGTTAGAATAGGTTATGAAAGTTTGAGAAAAAGTGGTGGTGAAATTAGTAAGGGAGAGAATGGACATAAACAAAATGGAGTTTGGGGACTACAGAGGCAGTAATTATGGCCAGGTAACTACAAGGGTAATGTCTCGGGAAGGAGAGAAAATATTGCTAAGTTTTGGTGGACTTGAAGAAGGTATTTGATAGGTTACCATGTGAGGTGGTCAAGTGGACAGTTAAAAGGCTGAGGGTCGAGGAGAGTCTTGTTGGAGTAGTTATTATGACATTATATGAAGGCTCAAAACCTGCTGTGAGAATAAATGGTGAGGTGAAAGTGGGGGTTTATTGAGCCCCTTTTGTTTATCATGGTGCTGGAGGCAACATTATGGAACTTTAAGAACTGGAGTTGTTGTATGTTGATGACTTAGTGGTGACAGCAGATAGTAATGTAGAGACACTGGAGACATTAAAGTAATGGAAGGATGGTATAGAAGCAAAGTGTGATGTTGTGTGACAGTGAAACATAAGCAGTTAAAGAGGATGATGTACACAGACTTGAACAAGCTGAAATGAGAACAGTGAGGTGGATGTGTGATGTAACACTGTGAGAGGAGGTCCTGTTGAGAGTGGCTGAGTACTGAGAGTGTTGGTGAAGCTCTGAGTAGAGGCAGACTGAGATGGTTGAGGAGACTAACTGGGTCAAGAGATGCAGGAGTAGGAGAGCCAGGGGCAGGTCAACAAGTACAGGGGGAGAGGTTGTAAGAAGAGTTAGGAGCCTGACAAGAGAGACTACAAGAGCCATGAAGAGCTGCCATCAGATAACCTCAGCTAACACACACAACCTTGGACAATAACCCTAAAATGATGATCATGTATTAATTTCTTGGTTAACTCTTTCAGTTTTGAGTATTAAAGGATGTAGTTCAATGTGTGTAACTCATTCATATGTCAGAAAAATTATTTCATCCAATAGAGAAGGGTCTAGGACAACTGGCCGCAGCCCAACTGGCCGCGGGAAACTCGCCGCCATATGGAACTTTTTGTTGACAACCTAACCTAACCTAACCTAACCTAACCTAACCAAACCAAACCAAACCAAACCAAACCAAACCTAACCTAACCTAACCTAACCTAACCTAACCTAACCTAACCTAACCTAACCTAACCTAACCTAACATAGAGCGCAAAAATAGGCGTTTGCAGTTTACCCCCAGTCTGCGGCGGCCAGTCGGCCGCGGCGAGTTTCCCGCGGCCAGTTGGGCTGCGGCCAGATGGCGGCAGCCAGTTGTCCCATTCCCAATAGAGAAGTACAGCACAGTAATAATAGTCACATATTTTACAGACAGTTGTGGTGACCCAAAATCAAGTTTCTTGTCGACTTCCCGAGTACTTTCCAGACCCGGACAAATTTCTACCCGAACGTTGGTTGAAGAAAGAAAACATAAACCCCTTCCTTGTTCTTCCTTTCGGCCATGGCCCACGAGCCTGCATCGGCCGCAGGACGGCAGAACAGAATCTATACACTGCTGTTCTACAGGTATACATTAACTTACACAGTGAGAGATGAATTGAAGTTAGGACACCGACTGTTGATTATGTGGTGTACGGATGATGGATAGTGTTTTACCCTTAGACCCCAGGCGTTATAAGACCCACCAAAACCCCACGTGGGCATATTTTGGTAAAAAACACCTTTTAAAAAAACCCATTGTTACTTAATAAATGGGTTAAACAATAAAATAAAAATACCAGAAGACTATACATACTCACATTCAACTTTCATTGTAGCATAGTTGGGGAGTTGTCTTGAGTGTTGATGAAAGATGTTTTGTTTGAAGCTGCCACACACAGCGGGAAGTGATGGTGACACAGTTCTTACTTGATGACATTTTTATAACATATCTCATCTTTCTATCTTATAACTACAGTATTACAATACAAAATATTTCTATTTTCCTCAAAATAACTATAAAATACCGAACAGTAGGAATATTCAGGCAGTGGCCTCTGAGTCTGTGGTCACTGGTATTTAGTTATAGATGTTACAGTTCTGACAGTACGGTACAGTATTTTATTTGATATAAATATTGTCTTTATATGTATTTTATCTGTAGGTGATTTCTTGCCCAGCTGAAGCAATGGCTGCTGCTGCTACAACTGGTACTAAGCAGCTCAGCTTCTCCCTGTTTTATATGTTTTAATAGATATTTGAGACCATGTACTGTACTGTATAGTAATAATTTAATATATGGCATTAAATTTTCTACAGTTGGTGGGTCGGTACAACATTGGATGGCTGGGCAGAGAACTGGACTGCTACTCCAACCTCATAAATGAGCCCGATGCTTCGCTGGAGTTCACATTTTTACCCCGGGCGGCAGCTGGAGGTGTACAGTATAGTTAGGCTACAGGTGTGAGTGTTATTTGTTGTTTGCTTTTATTTAGTAAATAAAAGTAAACATTTAATACTGAACTTTGTCTGTTGCACCATCATTAATTTGCTATTTTTTATAATAGTCATTTTTTAAGTTATAATAGATGGAATATAAAATAAAATTATTAATGATACTTTAAGCTTCATATCAGATCACCATCTATACAATACATATCAGTTGTTGAGGCCTGTGTACACATACTTTTAACCTACTTTGTACATAATTAATAATGGAAGACGACCATCTCGGTACAAAATATATACACATTTCCGTTGTATACAAGCACACTTGTATTATTATACATTATTCTTACATGCCTGATGTACTAAATATACAAATTAATGTTTAATAATCACATCTGGTAAGTGAGGTACCAAAATACAACCAATTATATAACCACTTCCATCTGTAACTCATGAGGGAAGATTATAAAGGTCAACAAGTCTTCATCACAGGATTATTTTCACCATGTCCTTACTGTACTAAAAACATTACAATAATGAATACAAGAGACTGGATTGGCGGCAGAGGTATTTGTGAGCGGGAAATCGCGGGCAGTTGCTTGTAAAGGACAAAGAATTATGCGTACACATCGTATTTCTGGTACCAAACAGAAAGAGACGCACGGTGGCGGAGTCCTCAACGGCAGCACCACGATAAGAACATCACAGCTTAGCCCAAACCATCAACGCCAGGTTAGGTTACTTACTATCATTAACCTTTATTATTGCTATGAAAATCTCAAGCATTTTATTAATATTAGTCTTAGTTTAAAGTTGACAATAAAGTACATTATTTAAATGTAGTACTGCATTAAAAACTTATATTGTTTAAAGTATAACAATGAGAAAAATCAATAAATAAGATCTAAGACTGAAATAATCAACATTTAAGATAATATATATATCAATAACTAACTCATAGATCCTTGAAGTTGGAATGTCTACAGAAAATAGAACCTGTGATGAATAAATGCTTCCATAAGGAACCAATACAATAAATTCTAACACTAAGTAATGTTCATGAATAAACCTGATATGTGTTGGTCAAATCACCTGACACAAACATGTTATAATAAGTGTAAGATACAGTACTGTACTGTAATTGACAATACCATTTATACATCAAAAACTTTAGGATGGACTCCCGCAGATCAGCACCAAATATACAATATGAACATTTATGTATAATAAGATGTACAGTATGAAAATTTGTCAACAATAATATGCCATCCCGTTCTAGTGGACAAAAACCACGTCCCCAAGATCGATCCAATTGATTATCACAGAGCGGGGAATATACCCGATGCCTTGCTCTACGTCACTTATTGCCAAACTGTACGGGTGAGAATAACACGGAGGACGGCACACAACACGAGTCATACAGCCATTATTAGATTGTCTCACTCATCACCACGAGTACATTCAATACCACATGTAGACATTTTCAGTTCTGACGATGCTGTCACTTGCACTACACATTGTTTTAGACTGAGCTAACTGTGGTGGTAATTATGGATATTAGTTACTCTACTGGACAGACCAATGGCTACCACAACTATGGACTTTCTTTACCTTTAAAACAGTAACTTTCACACTGATCTGGTAAACAAATTTTGCATTTCACTAACAACTAATATCCTCTTCACTCTGGATATGAAATTTATTGGGGAAGGGAGTTTGCTTGCTTGAGGTGTGTTTTGGCCTTCTTCAGTACATTGTGTGTCTTGTACAGTTGTTTACAGATGGCTCTCTCTACGTTTTCTTTACGCTGATTTGCTTTCGACAACTTCTCTAGAGCTTCCTCCAATGTTTCTTTAGTGGACGCCAATTTGGACGATAAGTTATCCCGCTCCATCCTTAACTGTTGATTCTCCACACTTAAGACGCTGTGACCTGAAGAATATATTAACTTATCAGTATGTCCCAGGTTTTAGTGTCAGGTGACCATGGTGTAGGGTGTGTCAGGTGACCATGGTGTTAGTGTAGGGTGTGTCAGGTGACCATGGTGTAGGGTGTGTCAGGTGATCAAGGTGTTAGTGTAGGGTGTGTCAGGTGACCATGGTGTAGGGTGTGTGAGGTGACCATGGTGTTAGTGTAGGGTGTGTCAGGTGACCATGGTGTAGGTTGTGTCAGGTGATCAAGGTGTTAGTGTCGGGTGTGTCAGGTGACCATGGTGTTAGTGTAGGGTGTGTCAGGTGACCATGGTGTAGGGTGTGTCAGGTGATCAAGGTGTTAGTGTAGGGTATGGGTGTCGTGTACTTTAGTCTAACATGACAATTGTCACAGGTAATACCATTACCAATTTCTGCTATGTAAGACCAAGTCATGCACAGCCTCTGAAATCTTCCACTTGTAAACAAAGAGCAACAGTTCATCCATCCTACACTGGTGAACTTCTCTTAATTAATATTACCAATAACACTAGAGGGAAATAATGGGTCATAAGGTCATGCACTAAAGGAAAATTAATGTCATCTTTTTGTCTTCTTCAGGTGAGGAAATAACTCATCAATGAGAATTTGGAGACGAGGACCAATTGAACGGCCCGCTATGTTTCTGGACCTCACATTTCAATTTCTTCCTCTGGGGTCACCTAAACTCTGTCATCCACCAAGATCGTCCTAGAAATTGAAAGCCCAGAGACCTCGATGGCCATTCAATCGGTCCTCACTGCCAAATTTTCTTGACTTGTCATGATTCTCTTAAACGGAAGATGGGGGGAAAAAAAAAAAGTTAATTTTGCTATGGTACCTGACCTATGACATCCACTTAACACAGTGACTGACACTCTCTGGGTTACACCTTAAATCTTGTACCTGCCACTAAATAAAAATATCTAATTCCCCCCCCCCCAAAAAAAAGTTTAGTGTCTGGATATAATACAGTACATAAATTGAGGTATTATCTGGGGTAAAATATACACCTGAAAATAGTGTAACGTGGCCAGATGAGGACCTCTGACACTACACAAAATGAGACTTATCTGTTCCTCTGTCCATAATAAGAATGACAGAGCAGCAACCTTCACATGGCCTAAACTTTGTATATACTGTCCTCTGTGTTGTAGGCGGCTCAACTATGACACCAGATGATGAACACAGTGCCTCCCTCACAAAGCTTTACTGCAACACCTTTATGGCACAGCAAATGATAATCAATGCAACTGGTTTCATTCTCGTGAGCAAATGCAAACTTTTCAAATCAAAATAAAAAAACATTCAAAGTAAAATTCATGCAAAGGCAAAATGCAGTGGAAATGAAGGCAGTTAAAAATGAGAATAAATCACATAAAGAGTCAACTATTAACTAAGTGTATAAATTATAAACAAAGTCTATTATAAACCAGACATAAATCTTGGCAGTCAACCATTTATTACATTCTGTCTGTCGTGAAATTCTAAACTACGAGACATTGAGTGGGGCCCCGTCACCCGAGGCAGACACACGACAATCTAACTTTACCTGAACCACTTTAGCCACTGTATATTACTGAACACTTCTCAATATGATCATTATTGTCAAGATAAAACAGGAGCCAGACATAGAAACTCAGTTATGGTTAATGAATAAAATAAAATAGCAGTTCCTGAATGATTTTGTAATATATTATTTCCTGGTGTTTTGCCACAAAGTAAAACTCAGCTTAATGAAATGCATAAAATTATAAAACTGAAAATAACTTGTGAAAACTAAACACCATAAAATTAACGATGCAGAGTATAGCTAACCATCCTAGTTGTTGATCACTCAGTCAGGGAAGGAAGGTATAATTCTGTAACTCATAAGCCAATACTTGTACTGTAACTCATAAGCCAATACTTGTACTGTAACTCATAAGCCTTCTACATGCCAGGCACAACACTAAGACATGCCACTCATAACAGGGAGATCCAGATGGTAGCCTTTTAGTTATGGTAAAATACACAGGTTATACAGTAAGAATCTATCACCTGATCACAAATATTTACCCGGTCTTGGAATCATTAATCACGGTCAGTATCCTATTAACATTTTCGTATCAAAACCTTAATTGAAAAACATCAACGTAATTCATCTTAAATTCTATGTAAAATATTTAAAAGCAATCAGGTAAGAACAAATTAAGATATTAAACTGATTAAATGTTGTTGGCAAAGAAAAATTTAATACTGTGAACAACAATAGGAAAAGCATTATAGAGTTTTGCTTTGATGACAAATATTATGTCAGAACAATTAAGAAAATAAAACTTTTATCATTGATTAAATAATTCCTAAAACGTTTTTTAATCCTCGATGTAAAAAACCAAACCTGACTGGATCAACCCTTAATATACTGGTACTGTGCAAGATGACATGATCAGATTTATTGGGTACTCACTCAGGAACTGCTGGAGACCTGCAGCCATACAAGAGAACAATCAGCTTGGTGTTATGTGGTGGTGATAAACTAACACCTGTACTGTACACTTTATCCTCGACACCAGTACTTTATATAACCCCGGGACACCTTCAGGCATTAACCTCTATCCTCCACAAATATATTAACCATTAGTCTTGATTTAATGATCTGTGGATCTTAAAACATAAACTCTACAATGCGCCAAACTTGGACATTGTTTCACGTAATATTAACCCCCTCGCTGCCGGACGATCACGTATCACCCGTTCCACGACACGAGGAAACAGTTAAGTGAAGCCCCCTAACTCCAGCGCATTAAAAAATTTATTCCCTTTAATTTATGTTAAGTAGTCCCATATGTATAATTTTTCTGTGGGCAAGTTGAATAATAACCATAACATAATATTGGATGATGAAAGTTTTGTCATCTGGTAACGAATGGTTTGAAATTTCCCGGTCGGCCTGGTAGCAAGAGGGTAAAATTCATCTATATTTTGTGCATAATTCGTGATAATTTGACCATTTAATTACCAGAAACTAAAAACAAAGACTTGGTCCAGGAGTAACATAAGTACTGATGCCAAAGATCAAAATTTATAAGGGCTGTGATAAGCTTAGGATACACATATACTATATACAGGTACAGCCAATAAATAAAGTATCGACCACCGTGCGATAACTCAACGTAAATCTGCGGTTTTCGGCATCAGTGGCTTCTTGTTATTGTGGTCGATAAAGGTATCCCTCGGGCTAAGAACATTTGAAATACGAAAATCCACGGTTTTTCTATTTGAATATTTCTTTCTTATTTAACAAAAGCTTCCCTCATATACAGTACAAATTTTGGCCTCAGGAAAAATTAAAATCACATGCCCCCAGGAGTCATAGGGTGGCCATCATTATAAGCCCCCCTCCCTCCACCTCCCCCCATCTTTTGTTTCGTCATTTGTATGTGGGAAGTCATATTTTTTTATGCCTGTATTTGTGCCATCATTCATATTCTGTTCATCATGGCATTCAAGTGTTCTGCTGATTCTTTGGCTACAGAAAATGCATAAGACTAAGCTTGAGGTAATAAGGCATCCTGAATGTGGTGAGGGACCTACAAAGAGCAGCCCACCTTGTGATGATCCCTCACTGCCTTCAAGGTGATATACCAAAGTTACATTATACCTGTACTGTATTTTATATTTGTTTAATGTGTTAGGTAGTAAATTACAGTACCTGTACTGTAGTTAGCTAGATCATTTTGTTGTTCATGAATTGATTTCAAGTTCTTGGAGTATGATAATAGGGTTTTCTTATCATCAGGAAGCAAACCCTATTTTTCCCATGTTATTCAAGATCAGGAAAATTCACCCAACGAATAGATTCAAGGAACCTAACCCGTCTGTTAAGTGAGGGATACCTGTAATTATTTTACTGACTGTACACTGGGCAGGGGTTTTGTTTAAAAATAAAAGGTATTTTTAAAAATGCTGTACAGTACAGTACTGAACTAGACAAACATCTCAGATGTCATAAAACTAAATCATTTATAATCAGTCTTGGTTCTTTAAGTGGGTAAGGACAGAGGGTGTGTTAGTAATACACTATTGCTGTACAGTGAAGCTCTCCACCAGACTCAAGAAAAACCCCATTATGACTTTTACAATTTTTGGATGAACCTTAACATAACCCTGGTAGTGCTGTAGTGGTTTACCAGAGTCGAAGGCAAGCTGGCACACTAAGTATATATATATATATATATATATATATATATATATATATATATATATATATATATATATATATATATATATATATATATATATATATATATATATATATATATATATATATATATATATATATATATATATATATATATATATGCTTAGCATTACAGTATTTTACTGATGACCGGAGTAAATCATACTTGTTACTTAAATATCTTTTAAATGCTATTGTACAAGTCAAATGATAATGATTAAGCTTTATAATAAAACCTATTAACGAGTTAAGTGGCTTTGGTCTGGGAAGAGAACATTCATCGAATAACATAATACAAGACGTGACTTACTGGGTTGGGAGCACAATGGAGGCGGCGGGAGATCGCGAGCGGTGTGTACAATAGAGCGGAGCGTGCGGGTCCCTCTCTCCAAGCTGGAAAAGTGATAGTCTGATCCAATCCCCAGGTCAGGTGATTCCCCAGAAGTTGTACCCCCATCACCCTCTTCTTCAGGCACTAGTGGCTGGGCAGCGAACACCCCTTCACCAGAGTTGCCACTGTGAGAACGTCTGTTTCTCTTGCTGCTGTTGCCAGCAGTGGTCACTGTAGTGGTCGTACAGTGGAGGTTCTCTTTATCCTCGCTCCGGTGACTGCTCATCCGTTTACTGCCGTCTCGTCTGCGACTGCTGCTCGAGGCACGACGCTCTCGTCCTTTTTCTTTATCTACACGAGAAGAGGGACTGAGTGAGGTCTCTCTACCTTTCCACAGTACGCTTGGATCAGGTAATGGGTGGAAGAACTCTATGCTGGTCACACTCTCATGTGACGCCCGGCTGTCACTCGCATGTGGCACTACAGCTGTTGAGAAAGATGACAATGTTAAAATAAAACTGGAAAAAATACAAAAGTTTAATTTAAAATTTCTAGTCACTATTACTCTGCTCTTAAGCCTGTCTTGTATAAATACTAAAACTTACAGTCCAGTTTACAGAATAAAAAAAAAAAATAACTAAATCTCCTTCCTGCTGTTCCATCACTTTACCTAACACCATACAAGTGTTCTGGCAACATTCACTGTGTCACCAAGAAGCAGCAACCATCCTCACTCTCATGGCCTCATAGTTCTTAGCTCTAACATAACTGGAGGTGTATAGTACAGTATATACTTACAATCATCACACTGTGAAGTAGTTGGTGATGTGCTGCCTCGAACAACCTCAAGCTGGAGCTGAAGGTTTGAGGTGAGGCAGCGTTCTGACTCCAGTTCTGCAGTGAGTTGCTTCACCAGTGTTGTTTGTTCACTTATACACTGTTGTGAGTCTTCTGATGTTTTCTGCTTCTCTCTCAGGTTTCTCAATTCTACCTCAAAATTTTGAGCTTTACACTGTAGTTCGCTGTGGTCTCGCTGTAAGGCCGTGTGTTCATTTCTTAACTCTCTCGTGTTCTTTTTCTCACTGTCTGCCTGTTGAGCGACGTGAGCCTGACGAGACATCAGGTGTTCGACTCTGGCTCGTAAACTTGCCACTTCCTCCTGCAGGACTTGCATTTCCTTTTCAAAATGTTCCTTGTCTGTCAGCAGCTGTTTTCGCTCTTGTTGCAGAGTAACAACCGTAGCACGTTCGGCTTCAAGTTGCTGAAGAACGGAAATGTGCTCTTCTCCCGCTCCTTCCACGTCCTGAAGCAGACGAGCGTGGGTGGAGGCCGAGGCCAACTGTGCCTGAAGGCAGGCCCGCTCCCCGACGAGAGACAGGCGTTCTTTGTTGACCTGCAATAAGCGTGATTCTTGCTTCTGTAGTTCTAACTGTAATTTCTGCAGCTGTTCATCATTATCTGGGTTGTTTGCAGCATCTTTTTCAAGTTGATCAGATTTATCTACCAATTCTCTGATACTTTGCTCTTTCTCTGCCAGCTGTGCATCACGTTCCTTTATCAGTGACTCTTTCTCTTGTAAAAGTTGATGAGCTTTACATAAATCAGCTTTTGCAGCTGATGCTTCAGTCTGAGAAGCTTCCAGTTGTACTTGACAGTGTGCTAGATGGCCCTCACACTCTTGAAGTTTAAGTTCTATCTTGCTATATTTTTCCTGCTGCTCCCGAACTGCTTCCTGAGAACCCTGTAATCTATCTCGTGCTTCACGCATTTCCTCTTGAGCCGTCTGAAAATAAGTGAGTGAGATTTGTTACACTGTAGTGGTCACATGTTTGCAAAGGCCACAATAAAGTATTTCCAAGAAAAATAATTTCTAAACTTTTACCACTACAATAATCCCATGACTTAAACCTCAAACAAGTGTACACTTGAGGACTGACAGATACAGAATACTGTAAGTAACAATATACAAGTATGTGCAAGTGTTATTAACTTTACTGCCTGTGATGTAAACTGTGAAGACTGCTGCTGGGAGCATCTTGTACTGTACTGCAGTACATACTCTACCATCAGTGTGTCCAAAATAGTTTAAAGTTGATATGAATCTTCCTTACTGAAGCTCCTTCTCACATAATGTTAAACTGATTATATATGATAAAATACAGATTATATCTACAGGTGATCAGATTGTTGTAATAAATACAGTACCTCCATTTTCTCAATTAATGCTCTACGTCACAGGTCACTTGCAAGAGGGACAGGTAAATTAAATATTGATAAGTACAGACTTATAAATTTCACATTTTTGAAAACTGGAACAAAGAAAGTGACTGACCTGTAAAGCAGCAGTAAGGTGGTAGAACCTTGCTTCATCTTGTGGATGAGCTGTCAGTGCTGCTTCAAGTTGATCACGAAGATGATCATTATTGGCGATCGCTTCTTCTAGCTTAAGGCGGAGAGCACGGATCTCGTCTAACAGAGGCGCGGGAATTGCAAACGTCGGTGGAGGAGGCGGCAACGCGGGCACCTCTTCGGCGCCCACGGAGGCATCCACAGTCTCGCCCTTGTGTGTTTCGACGCTCTTATCACTAGTCATTGGTCTCTGTTGCTGATCTTGTGGTTCATGACCCATCTGTTGACTCAGTGTCTGGTATATGTTCAGTTCTGCACGGAGGGTGTCGTTCAGTTGTTCTACGGCGCGAAGTTTTGTGGACACTTTCCGCAGTTCTGCAACATCTGATCGTCGCTTGGAGACCTTTCCTTGTGTGGGCGCGGTGTTGGCAGTGCAGGTGGCGGTGTCCTCGTGCGCCGCCTCGCCGTCAGATTCTGAGGTGATGGCAGCCGACGTCCTCTGCTGACGCGAGCGCGACAGAGCTCTGTCTGGGGCACCTCCGAGGGTGCAGGCATCAAGGCCAATTCTGGCTAAAGACACATTTCTGTCAGGTTCACTCCATGCTTCACTCTCAGATGGTGATACTGGTTGCCAAGGTTGTTCAGGCACCACACAACTACCAGCAGCGCCATTTGTATTCTCTCCCCAAGGCTTGCGTCCTTCCACGCGGGTCTTCTCACCGGGCGTTACGTGCTGCTGGAAATAACCCAGGTGTCCGCTGTAGGCTTTTATCGCCGCGTCGGTAGAATAAGCACTCTTGACGGCACTCAGACTACTGCGATCCGATGCATGACATATCTCCAACTCCCTAATATCTGGTCTAACTTCACACTCACTGTCCTGGAGGAGGTGAAGAGGGGGTGGAGGTAATGTGTCAGAACAGTTACCTGCAGACTTGTGAAGGCTCTCTTGACTACTTGAATCATGAGTGTGTACTGTTGTCTGGGGGGACATAGCATGTACAGTACTCTGAGATGAAGCTGCCAGAGGGTTTAAACTACTCTGCCAAGAACTGTGTAGAGCTTGTTGACCATTGTCTTTATTCTGCTCGGCCCTAGACTCCAGAAGCTGGAGATCTCTGTGTCGTACTTCATCTTGAAGGCGTCCCACCTGCCCTCTTAACTCCCCAATTACCCCGGCTTGTTGTTCTACTTGCTGTGTTCGCTCTGCCAGCTTTTCACTGAGTACCGATACATTCTCGGCGATGGCGTCAATTTCTCTCGCCTTTTGATCGATCTGAGTGTTGAGTTGTGTGGCCAGCGCCTGAACAGCCGGGTCGTGGGAGTCCTCGGGTTGTAACATCGTCTCGTCGGGAAGACTGGCTATGGCCTCGTGACTGCTGGCTCCCAGGTAATCGTGCGTTTCGGAAAGACTGTCATCTCTCTGCAGGCTCCACGAAGAGACGGAACTCATCGAGCCGGAGAGGTGCGTGTCGTCACCGTGGTCGGTAAAGTCCATACCGATCATGAGAGACTGCGACAGGGAGCGAGAGAGCGCACGAGACTCGTTCAGCGTTTTGTGTAGCGAGGCCAACTGCTTTGGAGACAACTGACTTAAATTGATAAGTCCCTTTTCTTCCATTTCTAATATACGCTCCAAGAAGTCTGCCAACTCTTCCAGTCGAGTTCGAAGGAGATCGCACGCGTTGTGGGAGTCTGCGAGCCTCTTTCTCAGTGAGGCAATTTCCTGTTTGTGTCTTTTCAGAGCCTCTTGGTATTTGCGCACGGTAACTTCTGTCAGCTGTTGGTTTATCTTCTTCTTTGCATTATTTAGTTCTGTTCGCAGGACCTGTACCTGAGACTGGAAATCGTTGACTATTTCTCCGTGCTTACGTTCCTTTAGTAAGTTTTCCTCTTTGGTCTCCTCCAGCTGTTTCTTCACAGAACCCATTTGTTCATGTAGCTCAATAGTGGTTACTGGAGTGTTAGTTTGACATACTTGGTCATACAGACCTTGTAAACTGGAGAGTTTATCATTCAACATACTTCTCTCCAGGCGCAGAGCTTGTGCTTCACTTCTCACTTTACTCATTTCCAGATACAGCATCTGCACGGAAGCCGAACTGTCGTCGGTGAACGTCAGGTGTAACGGCCGGTTCACGGTGACCGCGTCGGCGCCTCCCGAGCCCGTAACTACCGTCAGGTGGGCGGCATTCTTGGGTTGGTCGGTCGTTAGGGTGTTTACCGCCGGCTGGCTGGCGGTCGGCGGCGGACACACGGCAGCTTTGTTGCCGTCGACGTTCTCGGTATTATCGCAGTTTAGTCGGGACTTCAGTCTCCGTAACTCGCTGTTCTTGGTCTCCAGTTCGTCCTTCAGACACTCAATCTGCTGCCGACGATCCGACGTTAAGGCACCGAGTTTTTCCTGCAGACGTTCCACCTCCCTGTTCCTCTCCCACAATTCACGATTCACCAAGTCCTGCATGTCGGCATTTTTCTTCTTCAGTTCTTCCTGAAGAATGTCCAGTTCTGCCCTCTTCTCCTTCAGTTGGTCTTTGGCTGCTGTTAACTCCTCCTCAAGACCCTGGACGAGTCCTTGATTGGTACGCAGTAGTCCTTCCCTGCTTGACATGTCACCGCGGAGTGCCTCAAGTTCTCCCTCCAGATGTGCCACCTGCTGGGCTTGTTCTCGCAGACGCAGTTCCCTCTCCTCGGTCTCCTTGTCGTGTTTACCTTGCTGACCTTCTAAGACTTTAATTTTTTCATCCAACTGTTTCTGTAGTCGGTTCACGCGTTCCTCGGCCTCCGAGAGAGAGTGTTTGTGTTCCGCCCTTATTGCCAGAACCTCATTCTTGCGCGACTCCAATTCGGCCCACAGCCGCTGTAAACCAGACAGTTTCGGTATTGTTAACAAGTAATAGAAAAGTGTTCCTTAAATTACAATTTTCCAAGAGTAAGTGAGGTATAGTTTAAAGTTGCTCACCTGAATATATTTGACCTCCATGTTGTTAGTGTGACACTCAACATCAGGGTCATGCCACCAGCTCCCTCACACACAACTCACCAATAATATTACCCAACAAAGGCTTCATAAAAAAAAAGTAAAAATAAAAAGCAAAGTTTATTTTGCATAAAAAAATATTAAACATCAATTACAAACACAAAGACAACATTATTTATTGAATATTATTACCAAGTTTATATTTTTCATTCTTATAGGCAATTTCCCATTATGAGGCGGATGGGGTGGCCATATAATAAGAATAATTAACACGTACTGTACTGTACATTTCACTGAACATTATTACAGTTGAGAGCAAAACAAGAAGTAGCTAACACACACCCAGAGCCTCAAGAGAGATCATAAGTGTCTTGTAAAACTTGATACCTAAGATTGTGGTGTAGTGTGGCAGGTGTGAACTGCATCTCACAGGGGTTGGTTGGTGGGGTCAAATAATAACTATCATTACCACTCTGATAACAGTCTGCAGTAGTGGCAGGTTTGTGTAACTGCTCATACAAGGCTGGTTGGTGAGCCTCCTCCCACACTGTACTGGCTGGGGTCACATCTTCAGCACACCGGTAATGGCGTCTTACCTCATTCTCCTCCTCTGCCATTTCTTTGACGCCGTCCTCGCCGCCGCTGGTCTCCGCCTCCCACTTGGCCTTGTTGAGCATGTCGAGAGCCTCCTTCAGCTCTGCCACCAGGTCCCGGATCTTCTTCTCCTTGCGCTTTACTTCCTTCCTGAGAGCCGCGATCTCCTTATCTCGAGCTTGAACTTCTTCAGCAAAAGTCTGTAAGGGAAAATATTTATAAATACCCCCCAAAATATAATATAACTTTGCAAATGACAAAGGCGAAAAAAAAAATCTAAGCTACATCGCTTTACCATAAAATATGGTTTCATTGTGGTAAAGTGGAGATAAGATGGCGCTTCTTTAACCCCTTCACTATAGGGGACGACACTATTTAAAATCTTATTTGGCTAACCTGAAAGAATCCTGAAAGAGAGAGAGAGAGAGCATTAATTTCCTTATGGTAAATACTTGACCTCTGACACACACTCAGTACCTACCCCAAAAGGTCTCGCATTATTCCTCTGTTTTCTCAACCACCGACACACAAACAATGCACCAGTCCCTACTTTTTTTCACTGCCACCTCGAGCACATTCAAGTAAGGTGCCGATCCATTTCAGCTGTGATTACGATCTCTGTTATTGTGATTCCAAGCATGACAGGGATAAACACTAACTTTTCCCAGGATGTCTTGACAAAATTTACACACACACACACACACACATACATACAAACACTGCTTTACAGATTTCCATGGCAACCCCCTCCAATTAAACAAGGCTTCAAGATACACCCTTTCAAGTCCTCAAGATACAACACACCCCTTCAAGATCTCTAACCTGGATGACTTTACAGGACTTATCAAGGTCTTCGGTGAGTTTCTTGATCTTCTCGCTCGACTCGGTGATCTTGTGTTCCATGTCGGCGATCTGTTTCTGTTTCTCGTCCAGGGTAATCTGGATCTCCACCAATATCTTGTTCTGCTGTTCAATCTGTTCTATTTTTTCCTCGATGATTCGGTCACGTTCGATGATCTCCTGAACCTTAACCTCTATCTCCGGCTCGACCTGAAATGACGGGAGGTTACATTTAAATATGCATGGATTAAATACTCGGATTAAATATACCTGGATTATAGAGAGAAATGCCCCCCCTCCCCTCCCCCCCCCAGATGTGAATTACCTACACGAAAGCACTTGGGAACATTGTGTGTTTTTCCCTTTTCCTATGTGTCTATCAGGAGGGAGGAGGAGGGATTCATGAGGTGAGGAATGACAGTGTAAAGTAATCCAAGGTATGTGTAGTGAGCAAGAGCCTGTAATACCTAGGCACACACACACACACACATACACACATTTTTTCTCCCTCCAACACAGAAAGCATATCTTTAACCTCCAAAGAGATTTACAACACTTCATATCAATTTACTGTGTACACGAAGTTGAAGTCACGAGGATAATTTGACAGAGAGAAAGTGTGTGTGTGTGTGTGTGTGTGTGTGTGTGTGTGTGTGTGTGTGTGTGTGTGTGTGTGTAAGGCTTTGCACGTGTCATCCGACAGTGAATTGGCTCAAGTGGCACTAGTGAAGGTGACTGTAACTAGGCTATATGACAAGCCCCTGTAAACACACTTGTGAAGGGGACTGTACCTAGGCTATATGACCAGCCCCTGTAAACACACTAGTGAAGGGGACTGTACCTAGGGTATATGACCAGCCCCTGTAAACACACTAGTGAAGGGGACTGTACCTAGGCTATATGACGAGTTCCTGTAAACACACTAGTGAAGGGGATGGCTATATGACTGTAAACACACTAGTGAAGGGGACTGTACCTAGGCTATATGACCTGTAAACACACTAGTGCTGTACCTAGGCTATATGACGAGCCCCTGTAAACACACTAGTGAAGGGGACTGTACCTAGGCTATATGACGAGCCCTGTAAACACACTAGTGAAGGGGACTGTACCTAGGCTATATGACGAGCCCCTGTAAACACACTAGTGAAGGGGGACTGTACCTAGGCTATATGACCAGCCCCTGTAAACACACTAGTGAAGGGGACTGTACCTAGGCTATATGACGAGCCCCTGTAAACACACTAGTGAAGGGGACTGTACCTAGGCTATATGACGAGCCCCTGTAAACACACTAGTGAAGGGGACTGTACCTTGGCTATATGACGAGCCCCTGTAAACGCACTAGTGAAGGGGACTGTACCTAGGCTATATGACCAGCCCCTGTAAACACACTAGTGAAGGGGACTGTACCTAGGCTATATGACGAGCCCTGTAAACACACTAGTGAAAGGACTGTACCCAGGCTATATGACCAGCCCCTAAACACACTAGTGAAGGTGGACTGTACCTAGGCTATATGACGAGTCCCTGTAAACACAATAGTGCAGGGGGACTGTACCTAGGCTATATGACCAGCCCCTGTAAACACACTAGTGAAGGGGACTGTACCTAGGCTATATGACGAGCCCCTGTAAACACACTAGTGAAGGTGGACTGTACCTAGGCTATATGACGAGCCCCTGTAAACACACTAGTGAAGGTGGACTGTACCTGGGCTATATGAATGACCTATTTCTCAGCTGTAAACACACTTAACTTACTCAAACACACTTAAGTTACTCAGACACACTTAACATACTTTATTCAGGTCATAATGGAGGCTCTGTATCTGATCGTCCTTAGCCTGCATCTCTATGTGCCTGGTCTCCAACTCCTGCATCACGTCATCAATCTTCAAGTCCTTCTCCGTCACCTCTACCTCCAAGTCGGCGATCTTCTCCACCTTGTCCTCCAACTGAAAAACATTGAATATAATAAAGTGTCGTGTCTCCGGTGATTTTTTTTTTTAGTGTTTCTCCGTCACTTTTATTTACATTTCTCTTCTTTGGTCTAATCACCTGTGTGTGTGTGTGTGTGTGTGTGTGTGTGTGTGTGTGTGTGTGTGTGTGTGTGTGAGTGTGTGTGTGTGTGTGTGTGTGTGTGTGTGTGTGTTTAACACCTATGTTTTAAAATTGATTACCGAGACGTTGCATTTAATTATGAAAATCGTTTAAAGTCCGGGAGAGAAATTTTTATACGGTTATGATAAAAAAAAAAAAATTCTTCATATTAAATTCAATTATTTACTCAAACTGGATTTAAATTAGTTTTTGTAAATCGACGACCCGCAGGTGATGGTAAAGTGTATTTATTTATTTATTCCTTAGGTTTTTTCCATTAGGGTTAAACAAACTTGAGCCAGATACAAATACAACTGGATTTTTTTTTTTAATTATTGATATGTGATTTAACTCTTTTTAGTGTGATTTACACCTCTTTACCCTGTGATTTACCTTCCTTTCGTGTGATTTAAATGTCCTAACCTAAACTAACCTTAACCTAACCTAAACTAACCTAACCTTAACCTAACCCAGAGTAATCCCTCCTTCACCTCCTTCTGCAGGTTGGCAATATCCCCCTCCAGTATGCAGGTCGTCTCCTCCTTGGCCGCCAGTTCACCCTCGAGCTCAGTCACTCGGCTCTCTAACTCGACCACCCGGGCCTTGAGTGACGACACCTTCTCCTCGGCCGACTCCTGGGCGGGTTGGACGTCGGTCGTTGCCTCGGGCCGACACTGTTCGAGGGCAGCCGTTTGTGACATCGTGGTCGGCATGCTGAACAATCCTGGACGAAAGAAATATAAAAGGGAAATATTATTACAATTATATATTAATAAAAGGTAAATGAGAGAGAGAGAGAGAGAGAGAGAGAGAGAGAGAGAGAGTTAAGAAGAGAAAGAGAAAATTAAGAAGAGAGAGAGAGAGTTCTATAATGCACATGTACTGTACGTGTGTATAAACTAATCACATATACAGTTTCAACATACGAGTAAACACACACAATGTAAGTATACAGTGCACACAGGAGTGAAGGTAAACAGATGATTAACGTGGAACAGGATGAAGTAAATGAAGTCACATCAAGCTTAGTAACCCCAGCTTGTTTCACCCCAAGATTAACTGCCATAACACCAACCTAACCCCAGCTTATTTCACCTAAGATTAACTGCCATAACACCAACCTAACCCCAGCTTATTTCACCTCAAGATTAACTGCCAACCTAACCTAACCCCAGCTTATTTCACCTAAGATTAACTGCCATAACACCAGCCTAACCCCAGCTTATTCTCACCCCTATTAACTGCCACCAACCTAACTCCTAGCTTATTCCACTTCTAAGATTAAACCCGCTATAACACCAACTCCAACTCCCCAGCTTAACTGCCATAACACCAGCCTAACCCCAGCTTATTTCACCCCCAAGATTAACTGCCAACCTAACCTAACCCCAGCTTATTTCACCTAAGATTAACTGCCATAACACCAGCCTAACCCCAGCTTAATTCACCCCCAAGATTAACTGCCATAACACCAACCTAACCTAACCTCTCCTGGTCATTAAACAATAATATGAAATAAACTAAATAGCCTAATCTTCAAATGACTAAGATGTGTAATTAGTCATATCTTGGGGAAACATGTGGTATTACTGGGCATTAATCACAGCAGGTGTTCAAGAGATAATTATTCAGTACCTTGCACAGGTGACTTAGTGGCAAAGTTATTAAAGCCAGCAAGATTCAGCGGCAGGCTCAGGTTATCCTTGGAGGGAGGGACCACTTGCAGGGTCTCGGGTATCTCCTCCTCTGTGCTGAACGCCAGGCCACATAGCTGAGATAGTTCCCCCAGCCGGCCTCTCTCTTCCCGGAAACGATGAACGTGGTCGTCGACTTCCTGAGAGATGGAGATAAGTCGTTGATGATGTGGTTGACCGAGCAGCAATTGTTGCCGTACTTAGTTCTGTACTGACCTAACTTTTAAGACGGAAGGGGGGAGGGGGAAGACAGTCCTATTGAGAGGGGAGGGGGAAGACAGTCCTATTGAGAGGGGAGGGGGAAGACAGTCCTATTGAGAGGGGAGGGGGACAGTCCCATTATGAGGGGAGGGGGCACAGTGCTATTGAGAGGGGAGGGGGAAGACAGTCCTATTGAGAGGGGAGGGGGAAGACAGTCCTATTGAGAGGGGAGGGGGGTCCTAATCTAAAGGTCCATAGTCCAGTAGTTAGTCAGGTTATATTGGTGTCTATTAGCACCTGAGACCTGCCTGACCAACAATCAATCAAGTCAAACACACTGTTACCCTGTGTTCCCTACATAACAACAACTCTCCACATGTCGACTCAATAATTATATAAAAAAAAAAAACCACATTGAGCACAAGGTATTATTTTGCTTACACTGATATCATAAAGCTTCACAAGATCAGTTCTGTTTACTGTAGACTATATAATAGGCACTGTATCTTGTAGACTACATATATACATGTGATCGACAGTGAAAGTTTGAACACTCGTGCTTGGCGAGCGTACAGCGAATGAGGGTGCGCCAAGTCCGTACACTTGCATCGTTTTCCAGCATAAATAAAATGGTTAATTAATGCCTTCCTAAAGAAACCATCGACGTGGGACCAGGTTTATTCCACTGTACGAATTTTTTTACGATTTTTCCACCAAGTTTGATGAAAAACAATTGTGCCGTTTCGGCTGCCCAGAACAGACACACACCTAGTCCTATAGTATATTAGATAGATACTGTATCGGACTACATACATACTGTATTTTGTCAACTTCATATCTATATACTGTACTGCATTACATTACCTTTAATTTTGTCTTTAAATCCTTTCACTACAGGTTGTCACTTTTAAAATTATGTTCAAATGAGTGGGACTTCCTCTCTCTCCCCTCACACTCTCACTCTCCCTCCCTCTCACCCTCTCATACATAAGGGGACAATGAAATGCAGTGTAACCTCTATTTAATGAACTATATGGAAAGGAAAGTCCATTATATCAAGGGTCTGTTAGATGTGAAACCCCCACATGAGAGGACCCCAGTGAATAAAGACTCCAGCAAATAAAGACCCCCTCAGCGAATTCAGACCTAAATAAAGACCCCTGACCTTCTGCAGCTGCTCAACGTGGGTGTGCAGCTTCTCCTTCTCCTGCTCGTGCTGATCTTTCATCTGTGCCACCTGCTCCTGAAACTGCTGCTCTAGCCCTGACAGAGCCGTGGATGCCTGACGCACCAACTCCTGCTTGTCGTACAACTCTTGCTTCAGTGCCTCTGTTTCCACCTGTCAACAAAACATCATGTGTTGTAAATAATCGTGGGGGGAGGGGGGGGTGTTTTAACTGGTGTGTGTGTGTGTGTGTGTGTGTGTGTGTGTGTGTTGTACAGTACAGTATATAAATAAATACTGTAAATTAATAAATGAAGTGAAATTACTGATTGTACCTACCCTAGATAGCCTCTTGACTATAATACAATGTACAGTATAATGAACTTATTACTGGTTTAACCCTTTGGGACCTCAAGGGTTAAATCATCATCAAGGGGTTAAAGCAACATCGTCAAAGGGGTTAAATCATTGTTATCAAAGGATTAAACCATTATCGTCAAAGGGTTAAACCACCATCAAAGGGTTAAACTACCATTACAGGCAAATTTCACCATACAGTGCTGGTAACAACCACTAGCCACTCTCCCACTGGTTGCCAAAAACAGACCTTCAGTTCAATATTAATCTTATATACAGTTAATCTTTACCTTCAGTTCAATATTGGTCTTTATACAGTTAATCTTTACCTTCAGTTCAATATTGGTCTTATACAGTTAATCTTAAATTCTTCAGTTCACAATATTGGTCTTATACAGTTAATCTTTACCTTCAGTTCAATATTGGTCTTATACAGTTAATCTTTACCTTCAGTCTAATATTGGTCTTATACAGTTAATCTTTACCTTCAGTCTAATATTGGTCTTATACAGTTAATCTTTACCTTCAGTCTAATATTGGTCTTATACAGTTAATCTTTACCTTCAGTCTAATATTGGTCTTATACAGTTAATCTTACCTTCAGTCTAATATTGGTCTTATACAGTTAATTTTACTCTCTCAGTTCAATATTGGGCCCTATACAGTTAATCTTTTTACCTTCAGTTCAATATTGGTTCTGTATACAGTTAATCTTACCTTCAGTTCAATATTGGTCTTATACAGTTAATCTTACCTTCAGTCTGTTTGCCTGTGATAAGCAGTTAATCTTTACCAGTCTAAATATTGGTCTTATACAGTTATTCTTTACCTTCAGTTCAATATTGGTCTTATACAGTTAATTTTTACCTTCAGTTCAATATTGGTCTTATACAAAGCACTCCTTTACTTTCAGTTCATTATTGGCCTTTATACAGTTAGTCTTTACTCTTCAGTTCAATATTGGTCTTATATAGTTAATCTTTACCTTCAGTTCAATATTGGTCTTATACAGTTAATCTACCTTCAGTCTAATATTGGTCTTATACAGTTAATTTCTTACCTTCAGTTCAATATTGGTCTTATACAGTTAATCTTTACCTTCAGTTCAATATTGGTCTTATACAGTTATTCTTTACCTTCAGTTCAATATTGGTCTTATACAGTTATTCTTTACCTTCAGTTCAATATTGGTCTTATACAGTTAATCTTTACCTTCAGTTCAATATTGGTCTTATACAGTTCATCTTTGTCCTCCTTGTCGTACTTCTGGTCCATCCTCTCCTCCAGGAAGTAGATGCGTAGCTTGAGGGAGAAGTTCTCCTTCTTCAGGTTACCCAGTTGCTCTTCATATTCCTTCATGGTCCGTCCTCGCAGGGGTGATACCTTCCCCGGCGACCGCAGACCCAGGGAGACTACGCCATCCAGAATGATAATAAATAAATAACAGGAATAATACACATGATAATAATTAATAATAGTAATTGATAAGGTGATGAGAATGATAAAAATGTGATGATTATACTTTACAAGGTAATTATAGGCCCGTATTACACCGTCCAGAATGATAATAAAAAATACTGACTTGAATAATACGTAACATCACTGATTATTTGAAGAAGTCACAGTCCAAGTAATAATCATACAGCAATTAGAATATTTTATACATTACAAGCATACCAGGATGATATTTTATACATTACAAGCATACCTGGATGATATTTTATACATTACAAGCATACCTGGATGATATTTTATACATTACAAGCATACCTGGATGATATTTTATACATTACAAGCATACCTGGATGATATTTTATACATTACAAGCATACCTGGATGATATTTTATACATTACAAGCATACCTGGATGATATTTTAGACATTACAAGCATACCTGGATGATATTTTATACATTACAAGCATACCAGGATAATATTTTATACATTACAAGCATACCTGGATGATATTTTATACATTACAAGCATACCTGGATGATATTTTATACATTACAAGCATACCTGGATGATATTTTATACATTACAAGCATACCTGGATGATATTTTATACATTACAAGCATACCAGGATGATATTTTATACATTACAAGCATACCAGGATGATATTTTATACATTACAAGCATACCTGGATGATATTTTATACATTACAAGCATACCTGGATGATATTTTATACATTACAAGCATACCTGGATGATATTTTATACATTACACTTGAAAAATATTTGATACAGTGTGACCCCCCCAAAAGAACAACTTAAATACTGAACACGTGAAAAAATCAACAGTATGATTCACAAAAATTTTTAAAGGACAAATTTCGTGAAAATTCTTCGGACATTTGACCCAAAAAAAGTTGTGGATTTCTGAATTTGTTGGAATTTTTTTTTAAACCTAATGGGTACTTAAGGACCAGAATACAAGCTCAATACAGTACTATATATGATCTTAGGTTGGGTTGGGTTGGGTTGGGTTGGGTTGGGTTGGGTTGGGTTGGGTTAAGAAGTCATGTCAAGTTAGAGTAGAGTAGGTTAGGTTTTTTTTTTTGCCACTTACAGTAGCTAGTTTGTTGTGCATCTTATACTCCTCCTGTGAGCGGTAGAGCAAAAGGATTACAGAGTAGTGTTCATAAAGGGTCGTAATAATTAACCCCCGTTGTCAGGATATTATGGCACTGAATGTTACACAGTATTTCAATGACATTATTTGTTTAGCTCTATACATAAAGGGTAACTTATTCACAAATGCGTGAGTACAGGAGTGTGAGGCAGTATGTCTGGCCGCACACTTTGTTATTCACATTTGCGTGAGAAGTGTTCAAGTACATTATGTGTTTGGTTATATACATGAGAACTGATATAGTTACTAAGTGTAAAAAAGTGGATACAATATTAATGTCTGGCCACACATTTAGTCTTGTTCACATCTGCTTGAGGAACATACTGCCAGAGGTACTTATATCCTAACCTTAATCTAGCGGTTATAACATCTTGTAATCTAGTGATCTTGTTACTTGCTCCATATACATGTTTCACTTGATACATCTCATCATGGTAAACTATGGATCGACTAGTGCCTGTTTGCACTTGTCTACTTGCATCAAATTCATCAATAAGTTCTTTCCTAATTACAGTTTTAAGGGTTCTTTTTGACAGACCCAGATTGTATTCAACGGTGTGTTTGTTAGACGCGAGTTTGGCGAGGGCATCAACTCTGTCATGTTTTATGAGGCCTATGTGAGAGGGGATCCACAACAGTTTGACCTTGACACCCCGGTCAACAAGGTACGCATACAGTACAGTATTTGTGTCTGGCTTCAGAGACAAGCTCGTGACAACTTGAGTTAAGGGTGTCAAGGGCAAGTAGTGAGGATAGAGTCAGTGATGATGAGACTGTCAGTAACAGTGGTTTCAAAGAATCTAATAGCTGTGAGTATGGCAACTAATTCAGTTTGTAGAGTGGATGCCCATTTGTTAATTCTAACTCCTTTCTCAATTATATTACCGTCAGGTTGAGTCACAACAATAGCACTTCCAGCCCTCCCACAGGCGGTGTTAAGAGATCCATCAGTGTAGATGGTCTGTGTGATATTATCATCAGTCTGTAGAGTGTGTATGTGTTCAAGAGCTCTCAATTTGGCAGTGTGTTGGAGATAAATGCTTTGTACAATTAATTTTTGAAGCGGATATGTTGGTATTGTGATATCGAAGGGAACTGTCCGCCAGGGTGGCAGGAAGCGCTGTTGTGTCTCAACTTTGTACAGATGGTCTAGTCCAAACATCTTCATATGTGTAGCTGTAGTTTGGATCCATTTAGACTCAGTAGTCCCTTGATTCATACATTCTAGCAATTTTAAGGAAACAATGTTACCTGGATCACCACGCAGAAGCCTCAGGGCTATCATGAGGTTGACTTCAATTATTCTATCTTTGACACTCGGTATACCTAGTTCTTTCCTCATATTAAGTACTTTAGTGCTCATGGGACATCCTAGGATAATTCTGAGGGCTTTATTTTTCATTTTCTTGAGCTTGTCAACGCCTCTCCTGTCACGAAGGACCAGGACTGGTGCGTGGTAATCTATCAGAGATCTTATATAGCCTAGGTACATTGTTTTAACAATTCTAATATTAGCACCATAGTGTGGGCTGTACCCCGCTACACTTGTAAGAGGTCTCAGTCTGTCAGTACATGGTGAGTTAGCTGTTGTATGGCAGGTAAGGGACGGAGACACCAAGATATTTAAAAGAAGGAACATAGTCAATAATGTTGTTACCTCTTGGCAGGGCCGTTTACCAGCTTGTGTGTTGAACACCTTAGTTTTCTCAGTGGAGACAATAAGACCGAGTTCTCACAGGCTGTGTGTACAATCAAAGACAAAAGTCGTGTCGCGGGTTTATCTTAAGATTAAATATAACTCGTGAAACATTATAAGAGCCCTACCACAAGGCAGAGCGGACCAAAAGTTTAGACCTTTGGCATATGTTTTCACCAAATTTCCCGACACGGCTTTTGTTTTTCATTATACATGGTTCAGGGTGGCTTGCATTTCACAATGAGTTTCAGTATGTACTGGACTATAAGAACATCACCAGCACAGCTGATTGTGATATTGCTGGGGTTGTCTGGTGTTGGATTTAATAATTCATTCATAAGAACATAGAACAAATTGGGGCTAAGTACTCCACCTACTGGCAATATCAAAAACAGCTTTTAGGTCAAGAAATGTGGTGTACCTCCGTCCTCTCCAGGGGCAGTAGACCCACTGTACCCCTGGCGAGGGCGGCGTCAAGCTCCCACTCAGTATATGGAACATCACACTCATCGTGCTGTTTGCCCATCATAAAGTTAATAAGATTACTTCTCTCTACAGACTTCGCATCAAGGAGTCCCCGAGTCCCAGCTGGTAACATGTCATAGCTCGACACATGAGCCCACTTTGTTATTAGCTCATTCGCCTTTTGCAGAGGGTTTGGATGGGAGACGTGTCTTCTGTTTTTACCTCTGATTGTGTTTATGTCTTTCCAGGCTTTGGTGAGGGGAGTGTGTTGGTTCAGGCTGTTGAGGTAAGGTAAGGTTAGGTTAGGTCAGGTAAGGTCAGGTAGGGTCAGGTTAGGTTAAGTTAGGTTAGGTAAGGTCAAGTCAGGTAAAGTCAGGTTCGGTAAGGTAAGGTTAGGTTAGGTAAGGTAAGGTAAGGTTAGGTTAGGTTAGGTCAGGTCAGGTCAGGTCAGGTCAGGTCAGGTCAGGTCAGGTCAGGTTTAATGTAGCCGTACTTACAGGGGATGGAGCTGCTACCAGAAGAGTCCAGACTGTTGGCATCCTGGACTTGTGCTGGACTTCCACTGTGGAAAGAAAGAAGATGGTGACGTCAACAACAAAAACATTCCAAACACATCAACTAAAATTTTTGTTACAGCAGAAAATATGACAAATTTGACACCCTAAGCTTGTTTTACCTGAAGATTAGACACCCCAAGCTTGTTTTACCTGAAGATTAGACACCCCAAGCTTGTTTACCTGAAGATTTGACCCCCAAGCTTGTTTTACCTGAAGATTTGACACCCCAAGCTTATTTTACCTGAAGATTTGATACCCCAAGCTTATTTTACATGAAGATTTGATACCCCAAGCTTATTTTACCAGATGATTTGATACCCCAAGCTTGTTTACCTGAAGATTAGACACCCCAAGCTTATTTTACCTGAAGATTTGATACCCCAAGCTTATTTTACCTGAAGATTAGATACCCCAAGCTTGTTTTACCTGAAGATTAGACACCGTAAGCATTTTACCTGAAGATTAGACACCCCAAGCTTGTTTTACCAGATGATTTGACACCCCAAGCTTGTTTACCTGAATATTAGACACCCCAAGCTTATTTTACCTGAAGATTAGACACACATACATACATACACACACATACATACACACACACATACATACATACACACACACACACATACACACACACAAACATACATACATACACACATACATGTACACACAGATTGAATGACGTGGGAGGTTGTGTAAGTATGGGTAATGTGTCCCACGTGAGCCAAGGTGAAAAGACGTCAGCATGTGTGAGGAAGCTGCCAGGGCACCCCCTGCCCTGCCAACTGTCTCTCTTCCCCCTGCTGTAACCCCCCCTCTCTCCCTCTGCTGACACCCCCCTCTCTCTTTCTCCCCCTGCTGACCCCTCCCCCCTCTCTCTCTCCCTCTGCTGACACCCCTCTCTCTCTCCCCTGCTGACACCCCCCCTCTCTCTCTCTCCTGCTGGCCCTCTCTCTCTCTCCCCCTGCTGACTCCCTCTCTCTCTCTCTCTCTCCTCTGCTGCCCCCTCTCTCTCCCTCTGCTGACCCCCTCCCTCAGCTGCCCCCCTCCCCTCCCCTGCCCCCCTCCTCCCCCTGCCCCCTCCTCTCCTGCTGGCACCATACCACTATCCTGGCGTTATTTCGGTGTCGGGTCTGGCTATGAGCACGAGACAGATGCCAACACCAGGACAAGCCAAACCACCCTTACATAAACAGCCCAATTAGACGATTTGGTTAGGTGTTTAATCATCAGCTGAAGATATTAAGGAGGGCTAATCTTCATGTGATCCTTAAGCCGCAGCCATCAACATTGTATCAACCAATCAGGAAACGTTTTATAAAAAATTTCTAGTGACCAATCAGAGGCGAGTTTATATACCTATTCGTCATACCGGCCAGTAATTATTTCCCATATTTCATAATTAAAACCTCAAAAAATATGGTTTACACGAAAAAAATTACGTAAATTAAAAATAAAATACATATGTAAGTTTTGTCCTTTATAACAAGCAATAAAGACTAAAATAATCGACTTTTTTTTTTTAGTGTTTACAAAGTTGTTGGGGATATTTGTAACCTCCCATCTGATTGGTTGTTTCTCACCCCGGGACATAAAACGGTTGGTGATTGGTGGAAGCAGACCATTCCCTGTTCTCTCCCGCGCAAAAATAATAAATAAATAAATAAATAAATAAATAAAAATACAATGAGGAATTTATTTAACATATTTTATGAATGGAATATAATTAAATATAACTTATGTCTATATTAAAGATTATTACATTGTATTTAAAGTTTATATCTCCATTTTCTATTTTGGTAAACACATACACATACATACCCGCACACACACACACGCGCGCACACACACACGCGCGCACATACACACACATACACGCACACACACACACACACGCGCGCACATACACACACGCCTTAACTAGCTGTAAGTGTCTCCCAAGGTTGTTACCCTCCTGTCATACCCTCCAGTGCCCACGGAACTCTACCCAAGGCATTGTTATATTCACGTGACGCAACAATAACAACAACAATCACAACCATCACCACTACAACAACCACAACAACAACAACTACCACCACCACCACTACAACAACCACCACAACAACAACTACCACAACAACAACAACAACAACTACCACCATCCATCTCCCATTGGCTGTAATTTCAACCACCCAGTCAATTACAGAACAACCTGACTATTACGTGATTAGGTTAGGTCAGGTAAGGTCAGGATAGTTTAGGATAGGTAAGGTCAGGTCAGGTCAGCAGTAATTAAGACCATCTACTCACGCCTGCACGAATGAATTATGTCGACGACCACAAGTCCGGCACATAATGGTCACTATGATGGCGTAGAGGGCACAGCTTCAGGAGGTGGTGGTGGTGGCGGTGGTGTCGTGTTATTGTCGTTCTGAGGCACTTGGCGTCCTGGCCCCTGTATATATAGTGTAGTGTACCCCCCCCACCACCACCACCCACCCAGTCTGGCTCACCCACCCACCCACCCACCCTATTACCCACCCTTATACCCACCACCCACCCACCACCTTGTATTTTTAACACCTTGGCACTGAATGACACTCCCTCGGTCAATCAGTGCCACCAATAGTTCAAGAGTGTCGCAGGTAAGATTAAGGTTAGGTTAGGTGAGGACAATAAGGGAGTTAAGGGTGGACAGTAAGGGTGAGGACAATAAGGCGGTAGAGACAGGTAAGCGGACACAGGTAATGAGGTAGTGTGAACCAGGTGACCAGGTGATGTAGAGAAACAAACACCTCCAGCACCCGCCACCAAGGTGTGAGGGAGGGTGAGGAGGGAGTGAGGGGAGGTGGTGAGGAGAGGGTGAGGGGAGGGTGGTGAGGAGGTGAAGGGTGGGGGGTAGGGGAAGGGGAGAGGTGAGGGAGGGTGAGGGAGGGGAGGGAGGGAGGGAGTGTGAGGAGGTGAAGGGTGGGGGGTAAGAGGAGGGAGGAGGGAGGGAGGGAGGGAGGGGGTGAGGGGGAGGGAGGGAGGGAGTGGTGAGGAGAGAGGGTGAGGGGAGTGGGTGGGTTGACAAAGGCTAGTACAGTATGCTGGCACTCAAGACTCGGGTGGCACCTTGTGTAGGGTGCCAAGCTGTCTGCAGGTGAAGGCAGTCATCACACACACACACACACACACACACACACACTATCACCACCTGTACACGTGTCTCTCTCCTCATTAACCCCTCCCCCCATGTATCTCACCTGATAATTAAACATTCTTATGCTAACCTTACACAAATCTAACCTAACCTAACCTTACACAAACCTAATCTAACCTTACACAAATCTAACCTAACCTAACCTTACACAAACCTAATCTAACCTTACACAAACCTAATCTAACCTTACACAAACCTAATCTAACCTTACACAATTCCAACCTAACCTAACACAAACCTAATCTAACCTAACCTAACCTAACGTAACTCCAATGTAATGTAACCTAACCTACCCCCACCCCCCATTTAAAGTGAATTTCTTGAAGTCTCCCCTGAAATATGGAGGCCAAGTAAGTCCCGTTTTCTTCTACTTAATTCTGACACGTAGTAGTGAGGAGGAGGGAAAGAGAGGAGAGAGGAAGGAAGGAAGGAAGGAAGGAAGGAAGGAAGGAAGGAAGGAAGGAAGGAAGGAAGGAAGGAAGGAAGGAAGGAAGGATAAATAATTCATACATACCAAAACATTTATGCGTAGTGTGACATTCAATAATATAGTGTTCAAGTGTATTCTTTAAATGTTTATCACCAAGTTTACATGTTGAGTGTTCCGGTGTCTGTATCCTAGACTAATTCTGGCCACGACTACATCACATTGTCTGGTTCTGTCCTTATGCTGGCCACACCGGTACCTCTTGTCACGAAATCTGTCATATTTACTAATGCTACAACTGTCAGGTCTCTGCATTTCTCACTTCTTTTAGATCAGAGTTCATGATTCTGACTTGAATGTTTTTAATTACAGCATTGGACAGGTCAAGGTCACGGTCAATATTTTCTTTCTTACATGTCTCATTGGCCAGTCTATCAGCACGGTCATGATACCTAATGCCAACATGGGACGGAATCCACACAATATTCGATACTAAAGTTGTTCTCATTGGCAGTTATCACATGGAACTTTAGACATAGAGCACTTTGAGAGTCACAGAATATCATCCCATCTCCATTTTCTTTAAGGTAGTCTGTGGCTAAGTTGATTCCAGTTAGTTCAGTTTGTGTTGTGCTGGCCCAGTTGTTCAGCCTTTGCTTGTTTGACACTATCATCTGTTTTTCTTTAACATTGACACAGGACATGATATAGAGAAGCTAACATTGACACAGGACATGATGGTGGTAGATGGTAGTAGTGGTGGTAGTTTGTCTGCACAGAACCATCAGTAAAAGCATAACATTCACTTGACTTAATACTCTCTATGTGGCTGTTAATAGTGTGACGCATCTCACCACATCGGTGTTTAACATTTGCTTACTACCAACAGGAGTGTAATTAATAGGAACTGATATATCCAGCCAAGGAGGAATGGCATTAATAGCTTCGTCTGGGGTGATTGGGTCATTCAGTTTCAAGAGATCTGCAACACTTATGAAGCCACGCCCAAAGAGTCTTTTGTGAAGGTTGGCGAGATGGTCGGGATTACCTAGACAGAACATCAACTCAGTTTGATGACCATTGTTCATCAAAACTTGGACAAAACATGGTGTTAAGTAGAGCTATCCTCTCAGATAGGGAGGGCAGTCAGAGCTCTTTCCTCATGTTTACAATTGAGAGAGAGAGAGTGCTGGTGGTGGTAAAATTAGCAGGAAGCTGGCAACCCCTCTGCCTGTACCACCACCACCACCACTATTACCATCTACCACCACTACTACCATCTACCAACCACCACCACCATCTACCAACCACCACCAACCATCCACCACCACTACACCATCCTACCAACCACCACCACACCATCTACCACCACCATCCTACCAACCACCACCACATCC